AGAATGGAGGAGAACCCAAGACCAAGACCAGGGTCAGCACAGAAGAGGTTGCTGTTAAAATTTATTTATTTATTTTTTGAGATGGGGTCTTGATATGTAGTTCAGGGTGGCTTTGAACTCACTATGTAGTCCACGCTGGCCTTGAACTCATGATGATCCTCCTGCTTCAGCCTCCTGAATGCTGGGACTACCACACTCAGCATGGGTCACCACACCCGGCCATTAAAATGTTTAAAAGACAGGGCTGGGAAACTGCGTGCAGTGACATGCGCCTGTAGTTCCAGCTACTCAAGAATCTGAGGGAGAATCATTTGAGTCCAGGAGTTTGAGACCAGCCTGGGCAACACAGGGAGACTCATCTCAAAACCAACATATTACAAAAAATAGGGCTGGGAACTGGACTCAATGGTAGAACATGTGGCTGGCATGAGCAAGGCCTTGGGCTAAATCTTCAGTGCCACAAAACAGATATAAAGTAATCATATAATGATAGAAGACAGAAAAGGAACAGCCATGGAATCCAGAGGAAATATGTGTAGACATGTCAGAGCAGGCAAGAGAGAGAGAAATGTTTGAAGAAGTCCATGGATACCACTGCATGGGCTGATGCTAAGTGGCAGAATACGGAGACCAGGAAGTGCATGTCTGACCCGGAAGCACAGCTGTGTCCTCAGGCCCCCTGAAAAGGGGAAGAGTGGTGTGAAGGAGCGTTCCTGCAATTGCCGTGCCCTATTATGGTTGTGTCCTTCGTGCTGGCCAGATGCCCTTTGGCTTGGAAATCTGCAGTGTTCCTACTCCAAAGTGAGATCTTCTCCCTCAGGTAAACTTGATTAAAAAATAGAACAAAGTAGATTAAAAAATAGAACAAAGACTGAAAGCTGCTTTTGTGTCCTGACACCTTCGCACAACCACCCTCCCTCCTGAGGTAAACGCCCCTCTGGGGTGGGCTGCAACGGCTGTCCGCTTCACCACCGTCACTTCTGACAACTGTGCCTCCCCGTGCTCTACCACTTGTAACTCTGGCTTTCACACGTCTCCAGCATCGGTTCAGTAATTCAGTCTGTGTGCACTCTGGTCTCCTTGTCCTCAGCAGCTTATAGGGAAAGATGTTTCCTAGAGTGCTGCACAGTAATGCTGTAGCTCTAAGAGTTTCATGGTAAATAAGGAGTTACCAAAATCACTGACTGGGCCCGTAGAAATCAAGGCCACAATAGACACCGTTTCATACTTTTAATAAGCAAGTATTGAAAAGCCCGACATGACACAGTCTCTTCCGCATTACAGAGGCGGAGGAGTGGTGCCACTATTTTGGAAAGCAGGCATCACCTTCACGTACGGTGTGACTGCAGGTGGCTGGGTTTGTGCCTGCAGCCCACACCCCCTTCTTTAGCCTGCTTCACCTCTACCGAGGGTGGCTGACTGGTATGAATTGCAAGATTTACGAGGCAGCTCACAGGTGGGAGGAGGGCGAGTCCACACTGGTTGCCACAGGGTGAGAGGCAGCAGAGTCCACAGTAGCTGTCTGTGCTGAGCCGGAAAACCCTGGAGTAGCTCAGTGAGAGAACGTGGAAGCCACAGAACGAGAGGGACCGGAGTGCAGCACCAGCCCAAGGCCGAAGGCCTGGAAGCTCCCTGAGCCCCTTGTGCAAGTCTCAGTTGAAGGTTGACTAAATGAGACTGATGTCCAAAGGTGACGGGCACCTTCTTCTTTCCCCTTTCTTCTATCCAGGCTGCACACCTATTCACTGGTGCCACCCAATCTGGGTAGGTCCTCCCATTTGGCATCCACAGCCAGACAGAACTCTGCTTCACTAATCTGGGAGGTTTTACTCCAACCAAGCAGCGTGGTTGAAAGACTGCCCCATGGTGGATACTGCGGATGCAGAAACCCATTAGGACACTGAGGAAAAAGATTGCCAGGTGCCATCTTGAAATACCCATTCTTTCTCCATTCTCTTCTTCCCTACAAGGAGGCTGTGGGCAGTGTTCTCTGCTGGAACATGATGTTTCTTGCTTCCATTGTAGCAAAATGTGACTACGTGACCAAGTGCTGGCCAAAGATACAAAGGGAAGCGTGTTTGTAGAAAAGCTTTTCGGAAGCGGAAGGGCAATGGCACTTTCTGTGCCGCCTCCTTTCCGGGAGAAGTACGTAAGCACTAAAGTTTGCCACAACAGCTGGGGCTCCCAATCACCTTGCACCAGGTGGACCTAAAGATGGACGTCACACCTAGTTTGTGATCTGGGAGGTGATGGAGAGGAAGGGAGGCAGTCAGAGCCACTTTTTAAAAAGTTTCTTAGTAAGGCCCACTTTCGAATCAGGGCTCACTAACGACTCGAGTTGTAGACAGGTGCTCCGAAGGACTGGCAGGGACTGGACAGTAGGAAGAAAAGTAGCAGTTTCAAGTATGAGTTGAACAAAATTGGAATCATTCAGATTTTCTGATAGTGCAGGGGCACTGGGGCAGGGGAGAGCAGGAACACTATCTCTTTACAGTTCGTATTTTCCATGTTTGTGGTAGGCTCAAAATGATCCCCTGAAAGATCCTTGCTGTAATCCCTGGAACCTGGGTTAGGTAAGATTAAGGGTGCTGGCGGCGGGGAGGTTGTCCTGAATATCCTTGTGAGCCCTAAATCATGTGTGGCTTTACACAAGGGAAACTGAAGGAGGTTTTTACCCATTAGACAGAAGGTGGCCAGCCAACAAAGCTGGAAGCAAGAATCAGATTATCCCTGGGATAAGGACTGTAGTGCTGCTACTTGGCATTGAGTTTTCTGTTGTAAACCACCAGATCTGTACAACTCCTAGTGAAGTCTCCGCGTCAGTAACACAGCCTTACCTCCAAAAATGTGCAACGTTGTAAGCATAGTGCCTTCTCCTCACCTCAGAGCATTTGTTCACCCCCTCCCTCACCAGCAAGTTCCACTGCCCCACCCAAAAGCCCTCTTGCTTATTACTCTGGACACGAGAGACAGTCCAGGAAGACCGAAGCAGGACCTGTAAACTACACAGTACACCCCCTTGCTCAGTCACGTGTATTTCCTATTGATTCTGTTCCTCTAGAGAACTATAGTAAGACAACTGGGTTTTATATCAAATATCCTTTATAATAAAACGTACCACTTTAAAGTTGTGAAGTAGCTTCAAAATTCTGACGGAGTCCAACCCAGTTCTTCTGCTGGTAGTGTTTGTGGTGGTCAATGTGAGAAATCCTTGATAAATCCAAGGTCATGAGTGTTTGCTTTTGTTTTCCCCTAAAATGTTTACTGTTAGTACTAAGTTTAGGCTTTCGATTAATCTATTTTAATGTGGATATCCAGTTGTTCAAACACCAATAAAAAATACTGCTTTTGAAGACTGTCCTTTCCCCATTTCATAAACGTGGGCATCCTTGTCAAAAATCAATTGATTAAGCCAGGCATGGTGGCACATGCCTGTAATCTGAACACTCAGGAGGCTGAGGCAAGATGATCACCATGAGTTTGAGGTTATCTTGGGCTTCAGTGAGTTCATGGCCAGCCTGAACTACATCACAAGACCCTGTCTCAAAAAATCAAAACCAAAAAACCCAAATGGCCATAAATTGGTTTTCTGGACTTTTCTTTTCCATGGATCTGTATGTCTAACTTTATGCAGGTACCACACTTCTTCGACTGGTATAGCTTTGCATAAGTTTCAAAATTAGAGTGAACCAGTTTCTTTCTCAAGATTATTTTTGGGGGAGGATATTTGGGGTACCTTGCAATTCTTTATGAGCTTTAAAAATGATTTTCCTATTTTTCAAGAGGCAATTATGACTCTGATAATTTAAAAAACTGAAGATTGCTGTCAGGGTTACTGCCATTTTATACCAACATTATGTCTTCTAATCCATACCTACAGTATATCTTTGTTTACTTAGGACTTTCTTTTATCAGCAATTTTGTAGGTACCGTGTAAGTTCAGCACCTTTATTCCTATTTTAGATGCTACAGGTGAAACTGCCTGCTTTCTCCATTTCTTCTTGTATTAGTCATCCTAATGTATACAAATATAACTGATTTTTCTGCACTGATTTTCTATCCTGTACCTTTGCTTAATTCATTTATTGGTGCTGACATGTTTTTTGGTGGATTCTTTAGAACTTTTTACATACAAGATTAGGTAATTTGTGATCAAAGTATTTTCACTTCCTCTCCAATTTGGACAATAACACTTTGCTTTTCCTAATTGTTACAGGTAGTCTTCAGCTTTGGGGAAAAAAAGAGAGTATTCTAACTATGCAATTTCAACAATGCATTTAAACCCTATGTTCCATTGTAGACATCACTTTAGGAATCTGTAGAGAGGATGCCACAGGAAGGACAGTAAATACTGCAGTCTCTGTAGCTTAAGAATGCATACTCACATAAACATTCTCATACCAACAGCATTTTAACTATTTGTCGAGACCTGGTTTCATTAGGTTGTGCAGCGCAGTCTCAAACACCTGCGCTTAAGCAAGCCTCCTGCTCAGCCTTCTGAGGAGCTGGGATTACAGCTGCATGCCACCACAGTGGGTAGCTCAATAGCATCTTAAATTATGCACAATATATGAAATAATTTTTTAATTTGTTTTGCAGTTATCTTTAGTATGTTTTAAAATAACAAAAAATTGAGAAATTTCTACCTTCCAAATTTACTACAAAACTAGTATACCCAAAATGAAATCCTAGTTAGGCCAGGTCTGGTGGTGCCCGCCTGTAATCCCAGCGCTCAGATCACTGTGAGTTCAAGACCAGCCCGGGCTACAAAGTGAGCCCAAGGGCCGGGGAAGCAGCTTAGCTGTGGTCCTCATTGTTAGCACGCGCAGGGCCCTGGCTTCCGTGTCGCGTACCACCAGCAGCAGACACATGTGAGTCCTCACTGCAGGTCACTGGTCCCTATTCTTTGCAGACAAGGTTTCCAACCAAAGCTATTTTACAAACTGAAAGTAAATGTCCACCCTCCCCAGAAAAGAATTTGCTTATGGAGGCAATGATTTTAAGAAATGTATTTTTGGTATTGGTGATACATTTTATATTTATATATTTGTATATAAAAGGTATCTATAGAATATAAGCTACACACAATTATAGAAAGATATAAACACTTTTCAAATACAAAAATTGTGTGCTATTACAGACCTTTAGCAAGGTAGTTACACATTTGTTTTATATATAATTATAAAAGCCAAAAAAATAAAGAAACTTTATTAAGCCATATTAGGGAATTATAAAAATGTTTATCTAAAAACCCTCAATTTTGGTACTCAAGTCGAGAATGTGGTGCGGCCCTGCAGACACTGGGCCTTGGGCGCTGGCTCTCTGTGGCAGACGAGGGGAGCGGGAGGCGTGGACAAGCGACCAGGCAGGGCCGAGGGGTGGCCGCGCATCTGCGACTGTGCGAGCAGGAAGGGAGATCAAAAGTGCTTCATATGCAAACTGCAATGCTGTTCATTATTCTTAAGTTCATTATTGTTATTCTAACAAAATAACTTTATTAAGAGCTGCTAAACTTCCACTATTATATTACAGTGCCTTGTCCAAGCAAGCTTAGCATATCTGTCCGTTATCTTACACGTGCACATAACGGTCAGGGAAGTTAAAGACACTTTTCTGTTTTCATCTTCTCCTTTAAGATGCAGGATTTCATCTTGCATCAGTTACTCTGTGGACACATGAAAGGTGAATGAAATAGAAACTGCATACAGAAATACTCGATGTGAAGACATCACGATGCCGAACTGAAGTTTTCTACCTCTCGCTCCATTTTCTATATAAAGGGTAGGAAATAAAATGAGTAAGTTTTAATATGAAAAAAATGAAGACATAATTTCATTATTTTTTTCCCGATAAGCACCCTTATAACACTTATGTATATGTATAACACTGAAAATAAAAATCCAGCTCAGTATGTAAGACCGACATAAACTTTTACTGATGGGACTTTATGTTATTCACCAGTTGACATAGGGCAGGTCCCATTTTATGTCCTGCAGATAGTGGTAGTGTAGATATATCATCCAGTATCTGTTTTTAAAAAATTAGCACTTTAATAATGTCTATACAGTAGACTGATTAAAGACAAGTAGGTCTGTCTTTAAAAATCTATCTGGGGTCAGGTGTGGTGGCGCATGCTTATAATCCCAGTAACTTGGGAGTCTGAGGCAGGAGGATCACTTAAAGGTCAGCCTGGATTGCATAGTGAAAACTTGTCTCAGACCAAAAAACAAAAAGAACAAAAACTGAATCCTATCTGAAGCTGGGTCGGTGGTACACAACCTGTAATCCCAGCACTCAGGGTGCTGAAGCAGGAGCATCCCTGTGAGTTTGAAGCCAGCCTGGACTACACAGTGAATTCATTTCAGACTAAAACTATGTAGCAAGATCCTGCCTCAAAAAAACAAAACAATCTCAAAAGGAGCTGCACATCCTCATTACAATCCATAACAAATATGGTACCTGAATAAGTGTTGTTTTATCATAGTCCTTGCGATGCTGATAGATACACTGGCTGATGACTGCGTATAAATTCTCCAGCTGAAATATGTTGTAGTCTTCACTTTTGCTAACCACAGTCTTCAGAAGATTCTAAAGGAAAATACAAGTATTGCTGAATGTGAGATAAATTCCTTGACAGAAGCTGACTGTAAAGTTGAGGTGTTTTTAAGGACATAAACCAAGAAGAGGGCACACCAACCACCCGATGGGAGGGGGCAGTGCTGGCACCTGTCATTACAGTGCTCTGTTCAAACACACTGTTTCGGTCAGTTATTCACACATGGATGTAGTGTTACCACTGTTCTGTGATCCTGGCCTTTGGCGTGGTAGTAACTACTGGGAAGGACTCTGCCAATTTCAACTCTAGCCACAAACCTTTACTGACAGCTGTTGGGTGTGGAAGTGCATGCCTATAATCCTAGCACCAGGGAGGCTGAAGCAGGATCACCTCTGATGATCATGATCAGCCTGAGATACAAAGTGAGTTCAAGGCCAGCCTGAACTACTGTATTTCTGTTAAAGTAAGACCTAACTGGAAAATAAGCCTTATCATGATTTTTTCAGATGTTTGTAACATAAACACATGACATACTGAATTATAAATATTAATAAAATTATTGACATTAATATTTAAATAAATAATATAAATTATAACTAAGTACTCGTAAATACTCAAGCAGGCACTTTTTTTTGTTTTTGTTTTTTGGGTTTTTTTTTTTCCAGTACCAGCAATCGAACTCAGGACCTCACGCTTGCCAGGCAGCCTGCTGTGCTGATGAGCTAAAAAACCCCAGCCCCCAAGCAGGCACTTTCGGACGAGACATAAATACCTACACAAACAGATGAACTTGAGACATACTGCTGAATGACCAACTGGAGCACAGACAGTGCTCAAATACTGTGCGCACTGGATAATGACGACGTGGTTGGGTCTAATATGGACCCTCATGGTTCAGCACATGTGTGTTATAACAGATGTACTTAATGCATTCGTGTGAAATAAATGTTTTCTGAGTTCTGGTGTCTGCAATTTTTCGTCGCCTTTGTGTGGACCGTCGTTCGTTTTTGTTGTCACTCTTGTCCTATAAATCTTTAACACTGATTTAATGGCAACTTGTGAAGCCAGCCTGCAGAAGGTCGTGCCTTGGGTGAAGAATTCGTGGGATCAGATCACTGACAGCTGTGTTGCCCGTGCACTACGAGCAGGCGCATGGGCAGGAAGCGCTCACTGAAGGACAGCTCTACTGCTGGGCCTGAGAGACTGGGGCCAATGTTTCTACAGGAAATGGAGTCATGAGAAATTCAGGCCAGAATTCAGGTTGTAGAGAGTTATGATGAAGTTCCAGAAGATGACTGTGTGGGAATAAACGCTGACTTTTGTACATGAAAAAATAAGACATCCCCAGAAAATAAGCCCTACTGCATCTTTTGGAGCAAAAGCTAATACAAGACCTGGTCTTACTCCCAGGAAATATGGTACATATAGGAGCAAGACCCTGTCTCAAACCATCCTCTTCCCTGAAAAAAATCTCTACAAATTTAAAAATACCATTAAATTAGAGGAAAAAAAGTAACTTTTGCTGTGTACTCTATGGCAGTTTAAGTGTATAATTATTTCAATTATGTGAAACTAAAAAAGGTACTAACCACATAATTGGTAAACTACTTTCACACTTCAGGGTTTTTTTTAGTTTGTTTTGTTTTTTTAGAATTTTCCATCTGGGGTGGTGGTATATGCCTGTAATTCCAGCACTCGGGAGGCTGAGGCAGGAGGATCATTCCAAGTTTGAGACCAGTGTGGGCTACAAAGTGAGCTCAAGGCCAGCCTGAACTACACAGCAAGATCCTGTCTCAAAAAAGATGAAGGAAGAAAAAAAAGAATCTTCCAACTATGTGTTTTTTCCCCTCAAGATTAAAATGATAAGAGTCATTCCTACAGGCTTTTAAGTGTTGCCTACTAAGATAAGCCATTTCAACTAAGTAAAAATCAACTGAAATGCCAAGTCATAGACACAAAACAAACATATGGAAAGATAGCAGTGGTGGCACAGGGCTGTAATTCCAGCACTCTGGGAGGCTGAGGCAGGAAGACTGCTAAGTTTGAGCTCAGACTGTCTCTCACAAAAAAAAAAAAAAAAAAAAAAAAAAAGCTATAGATGCAACTCAGCAGGAAAGCCTTGGGTTTACCCCAAGAAGAACAAAACAAAATAAGGTGTGAGAACAATGAGTTAGATAAATACATTAAAAACTATAAATCAAGCTAGGCATGGTGGCTCATGCCTGTAATTGCAGTCCTTGGGAGGCTGAGGCAGAAGGACTGCCACAAGTTTAAGACTTGACTAGATTACATAGTGAGTTCAAAGCTAGCTGAACTACATAGCAAGACCCTGTTTCAAAACAACCAATCAACCAAAGAAATCTCAACATCAAAACTATGAATCAACATGCTCGTTATCTCCAACCACCTGTCTGTGTGAGCATGCATCCCTGGGGGCCGTAACTTGTCCACGCCCAGTGGACGCCCGCACTATCCCGCCGGCCCTGCTCAGGTGGGCTGGGTCACCATAGAAAGTGTTGGTGGAGGAAGTGTTGGTGATAGCCACCTGGATTGGCTCTGCATGGAACACCTGCACCCCGAGTGCAGCAGAGCTGGAGGGGTTACCACAGCCTCCCAGTGCCACGCAGCTGCTACCTCTGCACCCAAGATCACGGCGAACTGCACAAAGCCCATTTTCATAGTCCTGAGACTTCTAAGGGCATTCGGGGCCACAGTTTTTTTTTTTCCTTTTCTTTTTTTTTTTGAGACAGGGTCTCACTATGCAGTTCCGGCTGCCTTTAGCTCATTTTGTAGCCCAAGCTGGTCTTGAACTTGCAACGATCTTCCTGCCTCAGCCTCCGGAGTGCTGGGATTACAGGCGTGTGCCACCACGCCCCGCACGCCACACAGTTTTTAAAGGGACTTTTCAGAGCAACTTTCTTTTGAGGGCGGCTCCAGCCACGCCGTCACCTAGCAGATCTCTTCACTCAGCACACGAAGCTCCCCAAGCTGTTGGGGCAGGTTCCCCTTGCCGAAAAGGACTTCCTCCTAACACACCATGCTCTCAACTGCACAGAGAACTCATCTCTCAAAGATGCTACACTGGTTCTATGTATCAGCAGATCCCAAACACTCAGGCTCATCACTCTGCTATGACCCCGGGGTCCCGCCACACAGCCGTGGGCGGAATTCCTAGCCTAGGGCAGGAGAAAGAAGGGGAGCAGAGGAAGCCGACAGGAGGAAGGCTTTGGTTTCCCTTGCGCTTCCCACACCGCCGGCCTGCCGCTGGGCCGTCTCTGCAGAGCACCGGCGTGCGCAGGGAAGGCTCAGGATCTCAGCCACATACTTTCAGGCGCTCGTGGTCCACCACGAGTAAGGGAGTGGGCTGAGAGAGAATCGCCAGCGCCTTCTCAACGCTGATGAGCTGCTGCTGCTCGACTTGGGAGCGTCTGGCTCGAGTCATTCGCAGAATGCACATTTCTAAAATGAAAACTTAAATAATTATTATGGGTTCACAGAAATGATGCATGAGATATGTATTATTCAAGTTAAAAATAACAGGATCCAGGTGTGGTGGGACACTCCTGTGAGTCCAGCATTCAGGAAGCCAAGGCAGGAGGAGTAATGCAAGTCTGAGGCCAGCCAGACCTTCTCTCCAGGAAAAAGTAAGTTTACAGTGCTGGCTTATTAACTCTTTCTTTGTTTTTTGGTACCAGGAATTGAACTCGCGCTTGCCAGGCAGGCACCGTGCTGCTGAGCTGTATCCTTAACTCTTTCTATTGTAAGATTATAACACCGACACACACTCAAAAATTAAGTACAATCTGAGTATTTCATACTGTACTTCAGGGGGATTCTCAAAAGACTGGACTCGCTTCTGTGTGGGCACAAGAGTCGCAGAACTTGAGGAGTGGGGAGGGACTCAGAATCTAACATAAGGAGTTTGGCATGGTGGCATCCAGGCGCTCTGGGAAATTGAGGCAGGAGGCTCTGAAATTCAAACTCAGCCTGGGCAACTCAGTGAGAACAAATCTCAAAATAAAAGACATAGCTCAGGGCAAAAGGCCCTGGTTCAGTCTCTTATTACTGTCAAAACAAATGAACAACCTGAAGCAGGGGCTGTAAACTCCCACCATGGGCAAACCCCAGCCCACTACAATGAAAGGGACAAGAGCACAGCCACATCCGTTTTACCTACGTCAAAGCAGTTTCCCAGCAGGGCTGAGCTTTTGTGACAGAGGCCCAGGGCCCGGCCTTTCAAAGAACAAGTCCACTGATACTTGGTCTAGAACAATTTATTTATAAATGAAAAAAATGAGGTAAGGAAACAGAGACTTTCTACGATCGTATGTTTAAGTATCCTAAGGGCCAGGACAAGAACCTCCTGATATCTAAGCACTGTCCCTTTTAATAGTGGCCTAATGATAAAAGATGATTTAAGAAAAATCAAATAATTCTGATTCCAAGTAACACCCACTAAACTGCCAGGAGATTTAATATTTACAGTAGCCATTTTAGGGCGGGGAAAGTAGCTCAGTTGGTAGGGTGCTTTGCTATATCTGAGGCGTGTGTTTGATCCCTAACATAACAAAATATTGTTTCTGAGACAAGAGTCTTGCTATATAATTCAAGCTGGTGCTGAACTTACTATGTAGCCCAAGCTGGCCTCGAACTCACAGCAATCCTCCTGCCTCAGCTTCCAAGTGCTGGGATCACAGCCGTGCGCCACACCCGACCAAGCATCCATGCTAGAAAGGGTATGTCCTAGTCAATTGTTTCCATGACTATTCACATTTGAACTCATTTAGTCAGTACTTTTACAATAAAGTTTGGACCCTGCTCCCAATCTTTTCTGTATGACTAAATAATGCGACACTTTCTCAAAACCTGAACAAATCTTTTCAGGGGCAGTACTGAACACAGTCCTCGAGCATGCTAGACAAGTGCTGCACCACTGAGCCCCACCTCTAACCCCTCCAAAATCCAAACAAATCTATTGCCAAAGGGTCAAGAAGATGCCAATGAGGACAACTGTGACCGTAAGAGTGAATACGACTGGGCCAGGGATACAACTCAGTGGCACAGCACTTGCCAGGCAAGCATGAAGTCCTGAGTTCGATTCCCAGTACCAAAAAAAGAGACAACACGAAAGAGTGAATATGAACCCTCCTGAGCTGACTGCAAGGAGAGATAGAACGACAGGGGTGACTAGGACCTGTTCTACTCCACTCAGCAACCACCGCCCGAAACCGCCTACCTTAAAAATGAGAGCAGCCTGCCTGGGTTTTAAAGCTGAAGACCTGGGCCCTGGGTTCCATGCTTTAGATGGAGCCTTTCCATTTAATCGGTAAGACAGCTTACCACACAGCATCTACCTACCCTGGTTTTGCAGATGAGTGAGTAAACAGGCCACCAGGCTGAGTACCTGCCTAAGTGATCTGGGGGCTCAAATCCAGGTCTGTTCAGTGCCAGGTGTCATTAAGAGAACAGCGATTTACTAGCTCAAAGGTAACTAAAGTTAAGTTTTATTTTTTGAAATGAGCTAACATCTGTATTCTGAAAGGCAAGCAAAGGCAGTAAGCCGCTATGTAATGAGGCATTTAGGAACTCTAAGTGAAATGTCTTATAACTGAGACTCACCTTTTGCTTCATTCTCATCAGAAATATCTAGTATCTGAGAGCCAGAAACATTTCCATTGCAAACAATCTTCTCTTTTCTCAGTTCTATACATGCTGCAGCCTTCTTGGATTCCAGCTCATTCTCACTATTCCACGCACCAGAGTTATGATCTCTCAGTTTGGCCTTGCTCTCAGAGGCAAGCTGTTCCTTCTCATTTTCTTCTACTGAAGACTCTCCTGTGTGCGGGTCTGCCCCATTCTCATGCTGGTCTGCACTTGTGTCTCGAGTTTCTTCCACATCGCTTTCCCCCTTGCCATCCACCACGTTCTGGCAATCGTCTTTTGCCTGTGAAATCTTCCTCCGCTTTGTTATGGTGCCTAAGTGCCACTTGGACTTTTTGCGGTTTTTCCTTTTCAACTGAGCTTCAAAGAGTAAAAAAGAAAATATGATCCCATGACTTTCTAAATTCTAAGAAGAATAAAGGAAAGCTGGAGATCTGAGACAATAGAATTTGGTGAATTTTTTGTATGGTTGGAAACCAAAGTGGAATACTGTGAGAAACTGGAGAAGCTGACGAGGCTAAGAGCACAAAATGACCTGCCATCCTAAGGAATTCAGAAATTATTTTTGCAGTTCAGGCTGGCCTTGAGCTCACTTTGTAGCCCAGGGTGGCCTCGGACTTGCAGTGACGCTCTTGCGAGTGCTGGGTGTACAGGCATTTGCCACCACGCCCGGCTTCCTGCCACTTTCTGAGGCTGCTCTGGATCCTCTTTCGTGCATATCTACAAGGTCTGGTCGGACACACAGGGAGTGCTGCTGTCTAGTGCCATGCAACAGAAAGGCAGGCACAGTGTGCCTCAGCCACGCACCACACTGGGCCCTGTGCCACTTCGGGCTCTTCCTCTCAATAAAAGGACCACAAAGGGTAACATCAGGGCAATTGATACTGCAATTAAAGGCATTCATGAAACAGCTCCCAGAACTGCTTCAGAGTGTGACAAGAATGGTAGATGTGTGTCTGAAGAGAAAGGGAGCCTCCTCAGGAGGTCTAATAGCAGCGTGTGACTCCTGAACTTGAGTCCCAGCCCCCCCACTTAATGGCAACGTCTCTCACTGTAAAAACTTTTTAGGTGGTCCTGGTGGTGCACGCCTGTAATCCCAGCATTTGGGAGGCTGAGGCAGGAAGACTGCTGCGAGTTCGAGGCCAGCCTAAAATATACAGGGAGACTCCATCTCAAACAAAACAAAGCACCTTAATATTCACCATATTTTTCAACCATGAAAAAGGGGCCTTCCTATCCTTTTCCATTTTTTTTTTTTTTTTGAGGTGGGGGGGAGGGATGGGAAGTGTCTTGCTAAATCACTACACTGCCCAAGCTGGGCTTGAACTTGCAATCCTCCTCCCTCAGCCTCCCAGAGTACGGAGATTAGAGGTATGCACCATCACAACCAGCTAGGAGTTTAGATTTTATCTTGAATATTTTTTTTATGAAGTGACATGATCTGATGCAGATTTTCAAAAGATCATTTTGGCAGCAGTGTGAGAAACTAGAAGAAATGCAAGACAGAAAGTGCCTAGATTTATTGAGTTTTTAATAAACACTAAGAACTCTTTTAAGCCTGTGAAACAGACTTTTGAAAATTTTTTCTTTTCTTTTTTTTAGTACCAGGAATTGAAGTCAGGACCTCCCACTTGCCAGGCAGGTGCTGTGCCACTGAGCTACATCCCTGGCTCTGTGAAACATACAAACTCAGTGAAATTTTACTTTAACCCACTAAGGTTTGCTACCATGAGCATCATCATATTACAGATAAAAAAATGAGAGCACAGAGAGTATTTTGTGTAGGCCAAATAGCAGAAATGAAAGGGGAAATGGAGGATAAATGCGAGATGAAGAATGTGGATTCCAAAGGACGCAGAAATACCTCAATACTGGGACACAGGAAAGAGGAGGGTGTAAGAGCCGCTCCAGGGTGTGCACTGCCGCCCTGCACAACAGTCCTTGCCGTGATGAATATGATTATTTACGCCTTAAGTGGGACTAGGTGACAAGGGATCCAACTGAGTCTGAAACACATATGGCAGAAATCCCTTCAGCTCCGGACACATACACGCTAGGGTAAGTGGAGAAGAAATTTTACAAGGGAGGGAGTAGCCTTGAAACAAGTGAAAGCAAAGGAAGCAGCCTGCTTTTGGGGCAAGAGGCTGCCTGCAAGCAGAATGCCCTGCACTCTCTCAGGTTTGCCCCACCAGAACTGTAGGAAAGGCCTCTAGACTCGGACATCCACAGCGGCTGCCTCACAGCACACCCTTCCATGACCACTGGAGAGCGTTCCCTTTTATTCTAATAAACACACATCTGAGGAATAAAAGAGATGGGTGTGGAGGTGCACACCTGTAATCCTAGCAGCTGGGAGGCTGAAGCTGAGGCAAGAGGATCGCTGTGAATTTGAGGCCAGCCTGGACTATATAAGCGAGTTCCAGGCCAGCCTGGACTACACAGCAAGACCCTATCTCAAAAAACAAACAAGTAACAACAACAACAACAACAACAACAAATTTTACAAGGGCTAAATAGTTTTGTTTACTCTGAACTTTTGAAAAGCATTCTTTTGGTCTTTTTGAGACAGGGTTTTGCTATACAGCTCACAAAGGCCTCAAACTCCCTTAATGTAGCCTCAGCCTCCCAAGTGCTGGGATTATAGGTGTGCTCCACCATCCCTGGCCTAGTTTGAGATTTGATTGACACATACTAGACATATATAAAATCCTCAAGATATAAACATACAGTGACTATCCACAAACAGAAGAAATCTACATAACCAGCACTCAGATCAAAAAACAACAAGTACCAACGCTCAAAGTTACCCTCAGTTTAGTCATAATACCCAGGGTCAACACCCGATTCCTGGCACTGAGGGTTAGTTTTACCTGTACCTGAATGCAAATATGTATAAAATGTGTCTAACATTTAAAAAATATTTTTAAGCCAGGCATGGTGGCACATGCTTTTAATCCCAGAACTCAGGAGGCTGAGACAGGAGCCCCAAGTTTGAGACAAGCTTGGGCTACAAAGTAAGCTCAAGGACAGCCTAAACTGCACTGCGAGACTGTCTCAAAAAACAAACGAACAAACAAAACCAACTTTCTAAAGTGATTCTACGTTGAGAAACTCATCAACACTGTCCTGAGTGACCGGTTTTAATTACTCTCACTGCTGCACGATGTTTTCTCAGGAAGCCCATTTCCACAGATGTGCTTGCTGCTGGCGTGACTGAAAGCTTTCTATAGCAGAGGCTTCTTGTTGATTCTCCCTCACTGTCCTTTCTTTCCCTTTCGTGGGAGCTGCCCCCTCCCACAAAAGAAGGGCTTCTACTTTAGTGCAAATCAACTGCCCTGCAGAAGATAGATCTGTAAACAGCAGAAGGCTCTGACTTTACGTAGGCTCTGACAAGGCAGGGAGGAACTGAGGCTGCAAAGTGGGAAAACGATGAGAGGCTGAGAAGCTAAGCCGAGCCCGACACTCACGGGCCTCAAAACACAAAAACTAGAACGAAAGGCCTGCCAAGGCGGCCAGGCCTCAGAAAATGTGAGGCTTTTTTCAACTGGAGACCTGGAGTTACACCCTGAGAATACGGTGGGGAAAGGAAACAGAAAATAGAGCAGCATTAGTAGGAAATGAAAACCATTTTCAAATCAAGTCAATTCACAACTGGTGAGCTGAGACTCAGTGGCACAGCATAAGCTTGGACTTGAAGAAGGTAAGGTTCTCTCACTGTTAACGAGATCAGTGTGATTTATTGTATTAATAAAACAGAAGGAGAAAGGACATGGCATTAGAAGAGAATAAAGCTTCCAATTTCATAAATGAAGATTAGCCAGGAGCACTTACTAGGCGTGCTGGAAGCCACAGGAGTAGTGGGTGTCTGTAGTTTTTCATTCTGGTCTGGGTCTGATCTTCTGTCGCCAGAGGGAGTGGAGTTTTGCCGTGGCATCACGTGGTAGTAAGATGGGGCGTACTTGGAGGAGCTACAACCTTACAAACAGAGACGCAGGGCTTCACAAAAGGGTTCCTACACCTCAAAGTCACACCACGGGTCAACTAAAAAGCTCCATACACCGGAAGCATCTTTTCTGATACCAAACGCCTGTCCTACCTCTTTTCTTTCTGGACTCCTGAATCTCTTCACACAGTTTCTCAAAGTCTTCATCAAGTTCTTCTTTGATTATCGCATAGGCAGTGTCTCTCAGGGCACAGGCTCTGTGCCTAATGAGACGATCTAAAAATGAATAAACAAATGCAATTAATTTTCCCCACTCAATAGCTTAGCAAAATAAACTTAACAGATTAGATTAACATACTGTGGTAGTCAGTATAATTCCTTATTTTTACCGTAAATATAAACACCAGGAAAATCCTGACCTGAGGGTGTAAGCACTACGAGGGGGAGCGTGCTTTGAGGCAGAAGGGAGGGGATGTGTGACTGCATGGCTGTGTGGCTGCTGGGTCAGAACCTCTCCCAGGGCACCAGGCTGCCACGTTCACGTTCAGGTTATGGATGAAGGGGTAACTATAGCAATGTAAGGGGAACGCAGCAGGCTGCTAATGTGGCCTGAAGAACAGGACGGGCATTCATTCCCAAAGGGTGCTGCCTGTCAAAAATGCAAGGTCTTCGGCACTGTACCCTTTACCTAAATCATCAGAAACCGTGGCAACTGCGGCCCAGAGATCTGTATTTTAAAAAGTCTTTCTAGAGATTTTGATGCCCACTGAGGTTTGAGCACCACTGGTCCGAAGTAACTGTAGACTGCCTCAGCACAAAAAGTAGCAGCACTGAAAAGCCTCTGCCTCTAGGGCAGTGGGGAGGTGTTCCCAGCTGGCTGGAAGAGATTGCCAGTCTTAACAGTGTCCACCTTGGGAGGAAGGAAACAGAGGAACTGGATTGTTAAATGTTATTAGCATCATATTGTTATGTTTGTAATAAAAATTGTAATGGTCTTAGGTTAAAAATCTTTTAACATCTATTTTGCTATTGCCAGTATGACCTTTCTAAACTTTACCTTCCTCATTGGTAGAATGGGGAAAGGTGGCTGTGATAAGCAGCACTGTCAGTGTAAATTACTATTTATAAGACAGTACCTGACATAAAAATCAATCCTCAGTAAGTTTAATCAGCCCCAACAACCCCCGGAACAACAAAGCACTAATATTCACCTCCGGGATCTCTATCGGGATTGTACTCTAAAGCATTACTACAGATTAGGTCAATATCTCTCAAATAGTCTTTCACAGTCAGATACTTGTGGAGATCAATTTTACTGATTACAGATGAAAGGTCCATTGGTTGCTTTATCACCGTGACATAATCAGGAACCTACAATTCAAGCAAATGATTAAATCACTAAATTAACTCTAAACATTAAAACCATTTGACGTTTCTTTGTTAGGCAATATAATGCATAGAGAATAGAGATAATGATATTGTAACATGAATGCTTTGACTCTAAGGGTGTTTGTCTATTTCTGTTCTTCAGCAGGTACACCCTCTAGTACCCGCCTATTTTCCATTCCAACTGGCACCCATCTTCAACGTCCACCTAAGACCTGACCTCCACTCAGTTCCCTCTGTGCCGCTCATGGTAATACCACCTGGCATGTGACATTCTCAACTCTCGGAATGTTTGGCTTGGGCAGAAAAACTCTATTCTCTGCAAGAAAGGACAATGTATTATACATACAATTAATTAAGTTTCCCTGTGCTTAGGACACTACCTCAATTTGTGTTTCCACATAGAGAAACCCAGTTCCAAGTGCAGCAAGGAACTCCATGAACTGTCCCTGCAGTTTGGAACACATCTGACCAGGTAGTAAATTAATACCTCAACAGGGTCTACGGGCTTAGTAAACGCTCGGAAGCGTTTGTCGATAGCAAGCCTATGTGTGACATTTCTTAAGAAAATCCTCAGTTCTCTGAAAGTGTCTTCCTCTTGCTCTTCCAGTTGTTTCACTTCTTCTGCTGTCAATGGTCTTGGCTCGGGTGGTGGTGCCACTGGCAGGACCTCCAACACCTGTAAAACTTTATGTGAAGGGAAGATCTTAGTTCCTACTCTTGCCACTACTGTGGGTAACAAATGACTGAATAGCACTAGGATCTGAAGGGTTATCTGCAGCCTCACATCTGCCAGGAACCTAGGAACTCAGAATATGGAGGACCACCATGACCTACCTACCTACCTACCCCACATTTCCTCTGGAAATAACTGGTAACTCGTTACTTAAAACAGTAACTCCTCAAAGTCATTGCCTCTGTTCCATTTTAAGATAATTTAAGACACTATTAAGGCCAGCTTGAATTGCATAGTGAGACCCTGTCTCAAAAGGACCAAAAAAAAAAAAAAAAAAGAGAGAGACTAGCTTAAACTCATATTCACTGAGTACAGACAATTATAAGAAGGAATATGAGATCTGTCACAATAACTGGCAACTTACTAAGGGAGTAAGGAACATAATTACGATATTTTGGTGTCTGTTTGAAGAAAAGTAAGATGGGCTAATTAATTCTGCCTACATGAATCAGGGAAGGCCTCATAATAAAAACTCAAATTTTAATAAAAGGTCAAGTAGATCTTACAGGCAGAAATGGGGTCTATGCAAATGTTACTGACAGTGAAATTTAAGAACGGAAATATGTACATAGAGAATATTTTCTAACAAAAACAGGTAAAGGAAAGGGAAAATGCCAAAAATACCCCCAGAAGGACAGACTGGGGCCATACTATGAAACATCTTGTGTACCTTAAGAACCGTATCTGAACAAGAAGCACAGATATTCTCAGCAGCCACTGTATCAATCTCATTACAGAAGCTTTTGAACTTGCACTACTATACAGCTGTCAGTACTATTAACTTCCCAGGACCCGGGAGGCTGAGCCAGGAGGATTGTTGTGAGTTCAAGGTCAGCCTGGGCTACAAAGTGAGTTTAAAGCCAGCCCAAATTGCACAGTGAAACCCCATGTCTCAAAAAGACAAAAAATCCTAAAAAACAACTCCCCATAGTTAATTACCACGTTCTCAAAATTGCTGTATATTAAACTTTGATATGGTTAACTAACCTGCTTTCTTTTTTGATACAGGAGGCTTAGCAGCTTGTTTTAGAATTAAATCTTCAAAAAATTTTGTCCGTTCTTCTTTGCCTGGTAGCTGGACATTAAAAATCTCTCCATAATCATGGGTAAATAATTCTTGTACCTTAAGAATATAATGTAAAAAAAAAAAAAAAAAAAAAAAGAATATAATGTAATATATACAGAGTAAATGCAATGGCAAGCTGTTACATACATCTCTAATAAAATATAATCAATTTCATCAATAATGTATATAATAAGTTGTTTTTAAACAAGTCTTTTAAATATTCTAGATTTATGTGTAACCTATGTATACAATAAATTAGCAACTAAAAACCATACAATTTATGCATAAACATATGTAATAAATTAGGAACCCAAAATGCTTAAAACACAAGCATTCAAACTGTAATACACAGCAACTGACAATATTTTATTTAAAAGGTTTGGGATTAATTCACTTTTACAACCCCATATAACATGTGAAACATGAAAATGAGTGGTTGTTTAATGAAAATTTCAGGCGAAAAATAAACGGTGTGGGCAAGGGTATGGAGCAACTAGAAACACGGACTTCGGGCAGGAATATAAAATGGGGACCTGGCTGAGTGGAGTCACTCGGAGACAGGGCTGCAGGGAGAAGATGGAAAAGCCTTGAGCGATGAACATAGTGGAGACCTCGATTAGAATGAAGAAAGCAGCACACAGAAAGGTGAGCAGGAAAACACAGAATAGGACAAGAGTCGGAACAGCAGCAGGAGGAAGGGCGGGGTCACTGGATGGGGCTGGGCATCCGCTGCGGTGCAACCACGCTTTCTGCTGTTCCAGGAGGGCCCCAGGCCATCCCCCTTCTGCCTCTGTGGAGCAGTTCTGGGGGTTTTACAGCCAGTGGTACAGGACACAAGGACTTTCATCTCTTCAAGGACGGAATTAAACCCAGGTGGGAGATAAGGACTGCGGGTCTCTGCTTTGCTTTTTTTCCCCCCCTTTCTCTTTTATCCTCTGCCAAGGTTAAAACTATTGTAAAGTTGTCTTTAAAACTGCAACACTAGCTGGGTGTTGTGGCGCACTCCTATAATCCTAGTACTCAGGAGGCTGAGGCAGGAGAATTGCTACAAGTTTGAGGCCAACCTGAGCTACACAGTGAGTTGAAGCCCAGCCTGAACTGCATAGTGAAATTCTGTCTCCAGAAAAGGCAAAACAAAACAAAAAACAGAACTGCAACATTACTGGATATATCCTGGGAACTCAATCCCTAAGGAACGGCACTCATGCCACTGTGTGTCTCTGTTGGTTGGTGTTGGGTGGTTTTAATGGTGGCGTTACAATTCAAATGGCATTATTACAGCATTAAAGGTTTTTTTTTTCTTAAACTGACCTTGTTCCCACAAACCTCATTTGTGTGTGTGTGGGTACAATATTTTAAAATAGTGTCTCTGGTGTAAGAAACCAAAAAATGTATATAAGGACCAAAATGTATAATGGATACTGTGAAATAGAGGGAAAATGTTCAAATGGGAAGGGGAACTAAAGAGGAGGAAGTGGGAATGAAGGAAGGAAGGAAGGAAGGAAGGAAGGAAGGAAGGAAGAGAAGGAAAAAATGGGAACAAAGCTTCTGTAAATAGGGAGGGGAAGAAGGGTTGGAAGGAGGGCAGGGGGATGAGGGGAAAACAATCAAGATGTATCATGTACAGGTACAAACTCCCTGTGATCAATTCAATCATTATTCATATCTAAAATGTACCAATAAACTTAATTAAAAAGTAAAAATAAATGAATAAAATGGTACATTTGCTGAAAACAGTGCGACATGTTCTAAGAAGTGAAACAAAATTACTATGTGATTCAACAATTCCATGAAAGCAAAAATTCCAAGGGATGCGTGTATAAATGACAACAGCATTATGCACAACAGCAAGAGGGAGCGCAGTCCAACGTGCATCCCCAGCTCAGTGCACAAGCTGGTACACACACACCGGAAAAGGACTCGGCCTAAAGAGGAACACAGTTTGGACACGGGACACAGCACGGAGGAACACTGAGCCAGAAACAAAGGACGGTTTCATATTCCTCTTGCAGCAGCAACTAGAATAAAGCCCTGCAGTCAGACAGTGAGAGAGGAGTTACCAGGGCTAGGGAAGGAAGGAGCAGGGAGTTGTCATTAATCCCTAAAGGCACAGTGACCCAGTTCTGGAACCATGGAACATAATGCAATGTGTTTTCTTCAAATTCTTGCTCCTTGAGCTTTTCTAAGTAACACATGTAAATTTCATGAAAAATTAAAAAATCTGGCTTCTTCGGTATAAACTGGTTAACAGGGACAGAGTCTCTATGTCAGATTGAGTGGGGTCTGGGGTGAATGAGGTCTGGGATGAGCGAGGTCTGGGACGTGCAGGGGTGACAACACTCAACACGACGAGTGCACCCAATGCGCTCAGTGGGACGGGACGGCAGGCTTGGCTACGGCGAGCACGGCGAGTTCTGTTAGGTGTACTTTAACACACACACACCACGAAAAACTGAAGGCATAACAGGCCTGCAAAGGTATTTCACAACAAAGCTTGAGACCTTTCCCAGCATTGCCACTGTGCTTAGGGACATCACTTGAAATAAATCCACTTCTCGTGTGGTCCAACGTTTACACGATGCTTTTTTGCCCTTTCTGCCTTGCAGGCTCTCCCATCCCCTAAGGTGACTGCTGTAACTCACGGTGAAATGCAATCCCGAATGCTAGGCCACTAATGCTAGAACCTCTGGGACGGAATGAACTGTCTCATAAAAGGGCCAGAGAAGCCTGGCTACTGTGATAAAAACAGCATGATACTGGCAAAAAAAAAATCCTGAAGATCAGTGGAACAGACTACAAGATGCAGAAACAACTCCAGACACACTCAGCCACCTAATTTTTGACAATGTGCCGAACACATTCACTGGAACAGAGACAGCCTCTTTAATAAATGATGCTGGGAAAACTGGCTTTGCACATGCTGAAGATTAAAACTAAACCTGTATCTTTTACCATGCACTAAATTCAAAATGGATCAAAGATCTAAACATTAACACTGAAACATCTACTGGAAGACAGAATAAGTAAAACTCTTAAAGACACTGGTGTAGGCAGAGACTTTATAAGAAAACCCTGATTGCACAGGAATTATCACAAATGATCATCAACTGGGATCTCTTATTAAAAAGCTTTTGCACAGCAAGGGAAACCACCAATAGAGTGAAAAGACAACTCACAAGGTGGGAAAAAATGTTTGCCAGCTGTTCCTCAGACAAAGGATTACTATGGAGACTGTATAAATTAAAAAAAAAAAAAAAAAAAAAAAAATCAAGCCTCCTAAATTTAAAGACCAATTAAAAAATGGGCATCTGAGATGAATACATATTTTTCTGATGAAGAAGCACAAACAGCAAATAAATATATGAAAAAATGTTCAACATCACTGGTCATTTGAGAGATGCAAATTAAAACACTGAGATTCCATCTCACCCTGGAAAAAATGGCTATTATCAAGAAATCAACCCATAACAAATGCTGGCAGAGATGTGGAGAAATGGAACCTTTCTCCACTGTTGGTGGGAGTGGAGACTGGTGCAACCATTGTAGAAATCAGTGTGAAGATTCCTCAAAAAACTAGGATTAGAGGTCCCATTTGACCCAGCTATTCCCCTTCTGGGTATCTTCTCAGAATTAAAAACATTGTACTACAGTGATGTATGTGCACCCATGTAAAGCAGCACAATTTGTAACAGTTAGATCTTAGAAACAAACCAAATGCCCATCAACTGAGGAATAGTTAAAAAAGATGTGGTATTTTTCTACAATGGAGTACTACTCAGCCATAAAGAAGGATTAACCTGGAAACTTTTATAGGTAAATGGATGCAACCTGAGATCAGACTTGCATGCGTAAACATTGTTTTGTTTTCCTAGTGCGAGAAGTTGAAAGAGTAAGATCCAAAATGTACAACAGATATTGGGAAATGGAAACAAACTGTTCAAAAGGGAAGAGAAATTGGGACGAGAGAGAGGAGGAAAGAGGGAAAATAAAGGAATATATATACATACAAGATAGTTAAAGATAGTTATACTACTAATTTCTTAATTCATCGAAAGGTTTATGCTAATATTGTTTGTACAATTAAATGCCTATATCTTATACTCTGAATAACTAATTTAAAGACAACATGTAATGTACTGATCACTGTTACTCTATTATCTTGTTCTGAAATTTTTTTTTCCCTTAAAAAAAAAAACCACGAGGGGCTGGGGATTTAGCTCAGCGGCAAAAGCGTAAGGTCATGAGTTCGGTTCCCAGTACCGGAGAAAAACCCAAAAAAAAAAAAAAAAAAAGATTCCTCTTCCACATGTTACCTCTTCTGGCAGAGAAGAATGGGGCTTGTCAGAAGTTGCAAGCAGTAGCACTGGAGCAAATGAAGGAATATTCTGTAATAATGTGGTGAATGTGGCCTTGAGTGTTGGTCCAACTACTTCCCACCACAAGTGAATATGTGGAACATAAACTATACTTGGTGCTGTCCTTTTAGCTTCACGGATCACCTACCAGAAATGGGGAAAACAAAACAAACAAGCAAACTCACCCTCAGTTGAAGAATAAGCACATCAGTAATGCTAACTTGAGTAGCCTGAAACAATGTTTCACTTCCCAGAATTATCATAGAAAACCCTAAAGTTTTAAAAATGTTTCCTCCCCATTCCCACTACTTCATTTTTAAGTGTTTCATTTTATTTTATTTTTTGGTACCAGGAATTGAACCCAGGACCTTGAGCTTGCCAGGCAGGTACTTGTGCCACCGAGCTGTATCCCCCGCCCTAAGTGTTTTACAAAAGTCTCGTTCTTAGGAAAACAGAATCGCTTCAAGAAAGTAGCAAAGCTAAACAAAAATACAAATATAAAATACTTTTGTATTCTGAAAATTAAATATAGAAATAGCAACAACAAAACCCACAGAGTATCCAATACCTTACTAACGAGTGGTCATTGTTCTAAGTACTTGACTCATTTAGTTCTCACAATAACTGTATTATTGTCATCTCCATTTTTCAAATAAGGAAAACAAGGCTGAGATCTAAACTTTCCTAAGGCCACTCCTCTATTAAGTGGCATTTCTGAGATTTAAATCTATACTCTTTAATGATCAAGCAAGTACACACAGCTCTACTTGATTAACCTGAAATTCGAAATCAAAAGAACAAAAGCCTGGCACACACCGTAATCTCAGCATTTGGGAGGCTGAGGAAGGACTGCTCTAAGTTTGAGGCCAGCCTGGGCCACCATATAGTTAGCTCAGGGGCAGCCTGAACTATAGAGCAAGACCCTGTCTCAAAAAAAACAAATTGAAACGCAAAAAACAACACCCCCCCCAACACAATGTGAAAGTCATAAGGTAATTCTAGTTTTTGTTTTTCGAAGACAGCTTTCTCCTACAGCTGTCTGTTTAGGTAACAAGGAAGTACCTGGGCACATGTTTCTTCAGGGGATGCAGCGCTGACTCCAAAGAGAACGGGAATATCCAGCGCATAGACAGTGAATTTTTCCAAAGTGTGGATGACAGCTGGTGCCAAATGTGAGCCCTGCCCAAATCCTGGTTCTCCCACGATTAACATTCTTGGTCGAAAAGACATGGGTTGGTAACAAGCATTTCTGAAAGAATGATCAATTAATTAGAAAAAACCAAAAGCTTAAATGTTTGCCCCAACTGACTAATTACAAGCCTCTGTAAGTCCAGCCTATAAGACCAGCCAATCACAGTTTCATAATTTCTGGTAACAGCTGACTACCACATATTTTGAACAGTACTTTTAAACTGTGAGAACTGTAACAAAATATTTGTGATACTTTAACTTAGGTAAAAAAGATTGGTTGCCATCTGTCATCCTATCAAACAAATCTTACTTATTTTGGGAAACTGACACCAAAAGATTTGCTTGCAAAGAAAGTATACCTATTCAAATGAAGAAAACTAAAATTTTCTTTTGCTTTATTAAACGATTTTTGAGAAGGTCCATTTTCATATAATGATGGAACATCATCATCACTGTACGCCAAGTCGCTTTCCAGAAGAGGACAGGAGATATCTACAAAACAGGACACATTAGTGAGCTTGCTTCAGGTAGCTTCAGTTAGCAAATCAGCATATCTCCATGAAATTCTTTAAAAATAAAAAATACATTCCAAATTTAAAACAGGTGAATTTGTAAAGTTCCTTCAAACTTCTCAGGAAAAGTACAAACAAACTTTTAACAGGTTCTTCTACAAAAAAACATTTCTGGGATGTATAAAAAATAGTGATGCTAATTATGGAAACTAGCTTTCAGTGCTCACTCAAGTTTTGTACCTGAGTCTAACGCTCTGTGTGCTTCAACTTCTGCATGTGGGAACACCCTCTGCAGTGCGTCTAGGATCCTGCACACAGTGCTTTGCAGGAGCGGCTTCACGATGGCAGACAGGGCCTGGCCAGGGGACGTCACAGCTCTCTGCGAGGCGGGTATCATCCTCTGCATCGCTACCTCAAAATCCTTGGCGGAGATGTTAATGGAAGAGAGATCCAACTGCAGCTTCTCACTAGTAGTATAGATCTGCGGGTAACGTCGACGCAGAGCACATAAAGCAGCTTCAGCGCATATAGACTTAATATCTGCACCACAGTAGCCTATCCAAAGCAAACGGAGGGGGAAAAAAAAAGCGAACAAAAGAAAACCTGAAAAGTCTGCTAAAATGGTCACAGATAAAAAAGTTAAAAATCAACCTACCCAGATATGGCAAAATAGTTATGAGTAACAAAACTAAAACTCATTTATGCAATGAACTTATATGGTGGTAATAGCCAGCAATGAATGAATGAATGAATGAATGAATCAATCAATCAATCAGTGAGTGAAATACAGTATGCGATCACTAAGTACTGCACAGCCTAGGGGTTAAGGGCAAGGGTTTAAAAATCATACTAGGTTGTAATTATTGTTTGTCATTTATTAGCTATGTGATCTTTGGAGAATTAACTTAGGCTCCGCAAGTATTTCTTCCTCCGTAAGCTGGAGATAACACTACCTCACTCACAGGACTGATATGAAAATTACATGCACAAAGGAAGCTGAACACAGTGACCAGGAAAACATAAATAAATACTCTGCAAAGGATAAGAATAATTATCATTATTATCTACTTTCCCCTCAAATTCTCCTAATGGCCAGTGTGCCAGGTATCTCTATTTGACACATAGGACTTTAAAGACGAAAACATGCCACAAGAGAAGAGAAACACACATAATCTGTGTTTCTTTAAACTCTGCGGGATTACACCTTGTTCTGATTTTGAAATGAATGTACTGTATCTTTTAACTGCTTAAAGCCATGTTTACCAACACAGTTTTCTGCCACTTCTTCTAGAAATATGTCCAGTGGTCTGGGATTCCAGTCCCTTGTGTGAATCTTCAGAATCTCTTTTCGAGCCTATGAATAAAAATAATTTAATTTTTTTACAGCTATAATAATAAAGTGCTCTCCAGCTTAGAATAATTTCAGTATAAACTACTGTCTGGAATTTTAAAGTAATTAATACTTGATATTAATAGAAATATAAATAGTCCAAAAGAGGAAAAAGAGGTATTTGTAAGAGTTCAAGGAACTCAGTTTTTGTTGTTAAACAGATTTGCATTTATAATGCCCAGGTTACATTCTTCACCCAAGCACATGAAAAAAATGCAATAATTACTGAAATATTGTTCATTCTGACACATTTTAAAAACAGTTTTAACAGTTCTACCTATATTTTCTTACATGGTTATGAAAAGCTTTAAGTGGCTTTAAAGTAATTGATTAAAATTATTATATGATGGTGTTCAGGAAAAAGTCAAGAATAATGAATTGGCTGAAGACTGACTACTCCTTAAGCCACTGAAGCAAAACTGACAACCAAAGGCTGTGCTTAAATGGCAAGAATTCTAAGAGGTAGGCAGTATTGTACTTACAGAAAAGAAAAATTACCCTCATGGGAGTCCCTTTGAGCTATCGTGATTAGATCTTGATACTAAACTCAAGAATCTTCAAATTTTTATCCTATCAAGACTTGTTAATAATAAAAAGTAACATATTTTGTCAAAATCTGAGTGATGTTATTAAACTCTTACATCTTTATCAGGTAGGCTAAAAAGGAATTCTCTGTCAAAGCGACCAGGCCTTCGTAAAGCAGGGTCGATGGAATCCAACCTGTTGGTAGCACCGATGACCACAATTTCTCCTCTGCTGTCCAAACCATCCATAAGAGCTAGCAGAGTGGAAACAATAGAACTAAATTCAAAAATAAGAGAGAAGAGATTAATACTATGAACATAATGTCATCCCGTGATTTCTTTTTTTAATCAGATTTACTATATTAAACATATGAACAAATTTTCTCAAATACCTAGTTAGTTTTTTCTTCTTTTTTTTGAGATAGGGTCTTGCTATGTAGTTCAGGCTGGTCCTGAACTCACTATATAGCCCAGGCTGGCCTTCAACTCAAAGCAATCCTCCTGCCTCAGCCTCCCAAGCACTGGGATTACAGGTGTGTACCACCAGTCCTGGCTAGTTACTTTCAATGGATTAAAAAAAAACCTGTAAAATAACATACTAGGTAGAACACAGAAGTGTTTCTGTTAATTCATAACAAAAAACATACATGATCTTTAGAGTGTAATAAATAAATCCTGGAAATGATGTCATAAAGCATAATTTCCGAAAGGAACTTAAGGATATAATCTCAAAATATTTCTAGTAGGAGCATGTACAAGGGACAGTTTTAAAAATTATCAAATATACCATTACACATGTATTAAACATAAAACACCAACATGAAATAGAATATACACAAAACGTTACAATACAGGATTTTGAATGTGGAGGTGGTGCTGGGACTGGGTCCACAGCCTTCACGCTGAGCTGTTCCCCAGACCCTTACCCTGAGACATAGCTGCCCAGAGTTGTCCAGGCAAGGGTCAAACAAGCGGTGCTTCTGCTTCAACCTCTTGGTGATGGGAAAATTGGATTTTAATTAAACTGATCTCTATGTTTTCATCAATTCAGCTGAATACTCATCAGAATTTGTATATTTCCACCCAACTGCTTTAAAAATAAAAAACACCACAGCCAGGCATGGTGGCACATGCCTGTAATCCCAGTACTCAGGAGACTGAGGCAGGAGGATGGCCAGGAGTCTGAGGCCAGCCTGGACTATATAGAAACACCCTGTCTCAAAAAAACAAATCACCAGGGCAGAGGATATAGCTCAGTGGGACAAGTGCCTGCCTGGCAAGCACAAGGTCCTGAGTTTGATTTACGGTATCAAAAAAAAAAAACAAAAAAAACCTCAAATCACCAAACAAAAATATCCCCAAACTTCACACATTTAATCCATAAATTTGATATGGGATTTTTAAAAAATACCATCACCCCAAAGTAAATAATAATAATTACCCTCTTTTCAAAAAAACCAAATTGTCTCAAAACAGCCTTTGTTTGTGTAATGTGGTGCTAGGGATCACACTCAGGGCTTCCAGCATGCTAGGTAAGCACGTTACCACTGAGCTTCACCCTCAGCCCCTCTAGTGTCCTTTATGTTTTATTTGTCAGACTAGGATGTTCACACAAGGTGGACATCACATTTAGTTATTTGTCTCCCACACTGTTAACAATTCCCACTGTCTTCACCTTTATCCCTCAGCATGCCATTTACTTGGTGAAAATCTGAGTTGTCTTACAAAATTTCATCTCACATTCTGGAGTAGGGTGATCGCTCCCTGATGCAGTCACTTAACATGTCCCTGCATCTTTCTATCTTTTGGTAAACTGATAGATCAAGAAGCTTAATAGATACAGGTTTACCTATTTGTAGCAGCGTATTTCATAGAAGGCATTTAGGTATCTGCAGGAGACATTAATCTTTATAGATTTTACACTACACTTCAGTGTACGGAACAAAAAACTACACGGTGTGGGGAAAACGGCAGAAAAGATGTTTGTGATATCAAAACTGAGAGAAAACTCAGGTTTTTGAAAGAGACCTTAAAAGTGGACAGCTAGAACATTTTCTAAATCTAAAAATGCATTTAGAAAGTCCTACACTTGCAGTAGACAATTTCATAAGCCATCAGGAAATCTACAAGGAATTTTCCAGCATTATAGCAGCTGCAAAGGAGAATTTTAGTAACAGATTTTTACAGTTCTGTATGAAGACAACCCTGTGTTTTCTTCTCCAAATACAGCCAAATATGAAAAACTTGATCTTTCCTGCTTAAACTAGTTAAGATTTTAGAAATCTGGAAATGGAGCTATTGGAATTTCAAAAAAGTTCTATGTGGAAAAATAAATTCTACAACCTGTGTGCAACACCTGAGAAGATAGAGAAGACAGGGTATGAAGGGAGGACAAGGACAGCACCGTTGCAGTTCAGAAAATAAAATCCTGAAAGCCTGGGATGTTCTGCCACATAATTTTAAGTCAATGCAGGCACTTGAGATTGCTTTTCTTGCTTTGTTTGGATCATCTTCTGCTTGTGAGCAGCTGTTATCACCTCAGAACTGTATCAAATCTGATTCAAGAAACAGACTAACAGATTCCCTCAGTGCAGTGCTGCAGGGTTGTTCTCAAAGCAACAAAGTATGAGCCTGGGTGTGAGAAATTATCAGCGTGCACACAACCACAAAGATCACATTAATAGTCCAAAAGCACCTCAAATGCAAACTTTTACCTTTCTTTTTTTTTTTTTTTTTTTTTTGGTTTTTCTCCGGTACCAGGAACCGAACTCACGACTTTGCGCTTGCCAGGCAGGCGCTTTGCCGCTGAGCTAAATCCCCAGCCCCTACTTTTACCTTTCAATAAAAAGCTGTTTGTATTATTGAAAGCTCTGTTATTGTTTTTCTTTTAAGAAAAAAGATGTTAATGTATGAGTTGTCTTTTCTAAACTAACACCTCAATGTTCAGGTTTAATTGCAGTGTTGGTACTTTCCAATAACTAAGTGGGTTTTGGGTTGCAGTTTAGGGGGTTGGTCTCTAAAAGGTTCGCCATCGCTGCCAGAGGGACACAGTAAGTCCATGACTTATGAGCAAGTTCCAAGAGAATATTCCTATTGCAGATTTGTTCCCAAGTCTGGCAAACTGAGTCTTACACAGTCCACTTGTGCAGGTTCACAACTGGAAGTCTGTAATTCGGGGATTCACTGTACTCATATAACCATGTATGTGGCCCAATTCACAGTGCCACGGGGCTCAGACACAAGACCCACCCACCTCCACCTCCACTGTGGATGAAGAAAACGTGGCATATAAACACACAGTGGAGTATCACAGAGCGGAGAAGAACAAAATTTTGTCAGCTGCAAGAAAATGGGTGAAACTGGGCCTATTATAAGCCACACACTGAAGAAGGGAAAGTATCACATATTCCTAACCTGTGACACCTACAAAAGACGATGTGAAAAGGGAAGCGAGGCTATTCGACAAGAGGAAAGGATGAGGGGAAGGACAATTTAAAAGGGTAGAAAGGGGGATGAATATGATCAAAATACATTACGCATACTAAAATCCAGTATTCTATAAAATTAATAGGGAACAATAAAAACATTTTTAAAAAATAAGGTGCTAGGGGCCAGGGATATAGTTCAGTGCTGCAGCACCTGCCCAGCAAGCACAAGATCCTGAGTTTGATTCCTGGTACCAAAAAAAAAAAAAAAAAAAAAAAGAAAAAAATTTTCCTTATCAGCATTTCTATCTTCATTTAGCAGCCAACAATAATTATTGCTCAGATCAAGGTCTCTCAACCTTAGAACTATTTATATTTTGGGCCACAAAATTATTTGCTATCACACGCTATCATGTACAGGGTTGGATGGTTGAAGAGTATCTCTGAGCTACACCTGCTAGACAGTCATAATCAGCCCCTTCAGTTTTGACAATATAAAATATTGGCAGGCCAGGCGAGCTTGCACACGCCTGTAATCTCAGCACTTGGGAAGAGGATGATTGTGGCTTTGAGGCCAGCCTATGCTACATAGTGAGTTCAAGGCCAGCCTGAACTACACAGTGAGTCCCTGTCTCAAAAACAAAGTAAGAAGTTGCCAGACATCAGACGTGTTCTCTGAAAGATGGGGGTGGGGAGTGTGTACAGGGCAGAAATTACCCATAGTTTAAAACCCCAGGGCTAGACCTACTATTTTGTAACAATCCATTTGTGTTTCTCACATGTGGTTTTCCTATAAAGAACTGCATTTCTTCATCAACTACTGAATTATCCTGAATTATGCTCTGCATAGCACAGGAAGAGGAAATGTTTGATTCTTTAACTTCATCAATTTTCAGAGCCACAAGCCAATGATTCAGAAACCTCTAGGGTGGTCAACAAGGTTTTTAAAAAACCATCACTAAACATCGACAGATTTCTGTGCTGGATAGGTTTCAGTCTACTGTCCTGTTTCTGACACCCAGACTGCCCCACCTTGGTGAATGTGAGCACTTCCTAGCACTGTTACATGAGCCCTGTATTTTCTGTTTGTTGGCCTCACAGGATGTTCCAGGCGTCTCGCTCATTTCCAGTTCTTTGCTGCAATCTGCCACCTTTCTCAAGTTCTAGCATTTAAAGACCACATGCCAGGGACGAGGGACTTAACTGTTAACTGGTCTGTGACTGCTTCCAGGTTGTTTTACTGTCCACAATTAAGAATTACATTTCCCTTACAGAATTTATCTGCAGTTCATTCTGTTATTTCTAATTCAAAGTAAGTATTTTAGAGTTTTAATTTAACTTTGTTTTACATTTGCATCCTTCTCGTCTTAGACTGAAAGTCTTATTTCCCAATGATATTCCCATTCTTGGCATTGCTCTACAATATTACTTATTATGAACAATAAGATAGTAGAATCATACAGCAGATAGAATACAATTTAATCATTTTTAATCTGTTAAATTCTACAAAAAAATAACAAGAATGTCGGATTTAAACTTTTGGCAAAAAACTTACTAAGTTTGTCTTAAATACGTGTTTATGTATTTTAAGTAGCATATTTCTTCTTGCTAAAATGGTAATTTTCTGCAAAAATTCCTCCAATTTTTAAGGAACAATCCCCAAATACAGTAAGTAGTGTACTCAATTTACCTGACTACAGAGCGATGATGACAGTGTTGTTAATGTTCCCCTACTAACACAGTGAGGTATATTTTTGGTTCTGAGTTAACGTCTATACGGTCACTCAATGCAGTATCAACGTGTGGTTGGTAATGACGTGTCATACGTGAGTAGTCTGTGATCACTAACATGCACAGACGAAAGCATTTGCCATGGTACTTGATATTTCAACTTAAGAAGTGAAGTCATCTTTCATCAAGTAAACAAGGTTATTATAGTAAATACTTGTCAAGATCAGACAAGTCAAAATCCACCAGATCACATTACTATTTCTTATTCATCTACAGTACCTAAATATAAAATAACACTGCCACATATACAGGTATGCAAATGTGCTTTAGGGTCAAGTAATTCATGAGACCATTTGAAAAGAACCTCTGGAAAATTAAAGCTGAATTGGACCTCAAGTGATTTAGATTCAAGATGAGACAGTGGCTCTAGAAAGCGTCCCCTTGGATAGGCAGCTAGTCATGGGAAAAAGTCATAGTCTCCCCATCCTTATGTGCAAAAGTGAAACCAGGAGCAGTGGTATGCACCTGTAATATCACCAATTAGGGAGGCTGGGGTATGAGGATTGCAAGTTGATGACCTGGCAACTTAGCCAGGCCCTGTTTCAAAAAAAACAAACAAAAAAAAAGCCAGGGACGTAGCTCAGTGGTAGAGCACTTGCCCAGCAGGTAAGGCCCTGAGTGGTTCAAGCTCCATGGGTGGGTGATGGTGGTGCTAGTGTTAGAATTTCAAACAAGTAATAATTTCCTAACATATTTTGTTTGAACCAGGCAATACCTTCAAAATACATGAAATTAGTCGGCAGCACCTGAGGTATTTAAAATTCTAAATATAGGGGCCAGGGATACAGCTCAGCGGTGTAAGTGCTTGCCTGGCAATCCTGAGGTCCTGAGTTAGATTCCTGATACTTAATAAATAAACAAACAAATAAATAAATAATTCTGAATATAAAGCCTGAGCACAGAGACCTGTTTCTCCAGTCTCAGTCTCTGCACATCAGTTAACGGGAGGGGCGTCACTGACAACAGCTGGCTATGCACTTGTGTGAGGATACTCAGCCCTGTTCCCCAGCAAAGCCTGCTCCTGGCCACTGGCCACCTCACTGGCCTCAATGGCCCACGGACACTTCTTTGTATCACTAAGTCTTCCGTAAGCAAGATTTTAAAGCTGCATGTAGGATACACGAACACTCAAAATAGAGTCACCTTTTCTTTTCGTACTATGTACTAGGGTTTTGGTACCAAAAGGGGCATTATTTGTAGTTTCGTTCACAATGTAACATTCTCTCACATAACATGGATGCTATTGAAACAGGAAAAAGGTGGAAGTGTCACCAAAAGTGTTACCTGTGAATCTGATCTTGCCTGCTTGACCGCACTGGAGCCAGACCATCGATCTCATCAAAGAAAATAATTGATGGGCGCATCTGATAGGCCTAAAAGCAGGGCCAGTGTCATTCACATGTTATCGTAAAAAGCCTTGAATATGTGAATTCAATGTTACCATTTTCAAACTTGCTCCAGAATGTGATTTATAAATATGAATATACACCATTTCAGACTATTGGAAACTGCTTACTAGAATTGATCTGTAAATTTAAAATGCTTGTAATTTATAAAACTAAATGTAAATTCCAAGCTATGTTTTAAGGACCTAGACAAAGCTGTAACATATAGTTTAGTTTTATTTGCATTTTCAGCTGGAAACGTTAAAACACACACAAAAAACCCTACTGAAGCCAGGCGTGGTGGCACACACCTGTAATCCCAGCACTCAGGAGGCTGAAGTTCGAAGACTGCTACGAGTTTGAGGCCACCCTGCGCTAACAGAGTGAAACCCTGTCTCAAACCTAAACAACAACAAAAAACCACAGCAAAACCCAAAATGAAACAAAAAAACACCCCAAAACCCTACTAAAGACTAAGTGAAGACAAAAAAGAGCGACATAGCCTTCTTCCATGTATTTCAGTCAAGATAAAGAACAGAATGTGAGAGAATTCCAGAGATTCAGAAGCAGGTACACAGTACGTCTCAGGACAGCACAACGCATTATCCCACTATGTGCGGTCAACACGAAGCCCCTGCACGGCGGAGTGGTCTTCACTCCCAGGGGAGACAATTCATTCCTATCCTCTAAGTGCAAGACTGCCACCTTCTCGGGAGGTACGAGAGCTAAGACTCAACGAACTCAAACTTATTTCCTTCTCTTCTAACTGTAAAGCTGTGAACTACAAGTCAGTGTGATCTTGACATATGAAAGAAAATAATCTAAAAGATTATGTTTGGGTACAATTCTTCAGTTAATTTCTATGGAAAGTGACTCGATCGGTACATATGCAGACTGGAGATCAATATGAACCGTGACACCATACCTGATCAAACAGCAATCGCAGCTGTCTTTCAGACTCCCCGACCCATTTACTCAGACAGTCGGCGCCCTTCCGCATGAAAAACGCCACTCTCTTATTTCCTTGACTGCACTCATTGGCAAGGGCTCGAGCAACCAGAGTTTTTCCTGTTCCAGGCGGGCCATAAAACAAACAGCCCCTGTGAGACAATGTCGAACAGTTTAGCATTGTATTAAAAAGGAGACTACTGGAACAAAAATTAGAAACCAGTTTCATCAACTTGTTTAACTAGTGAGTTAAAAGTATAAAGCAACTGAAAAGTAGTTATATTCTATAAAGCACAACTTAAAACCTGGTAGTTGTTACTGATATTATAAAATTCACATGGAAACCATAAAGCCTGTCACCTGAAATGTTTTTTCTTTTACTTGCCACACCATATTACTTTCCCTTACACATGCAACCATACAATAAAATTGTACAATTTGATTTTGATAGCAAAGTGTATATTGTAAGGAAGAAAAAACAAAATTTGGGGAGTTTGTTGTCTTTTAAATTCACAAAAATTAGGCATTTCCAATATTCCTATGTTATTAATCTTTTAATTTCTTAAATTATATTTACTTCAAAATTGACCAACGTTTAAGTGTGATTGATTACATTACTTTCATAAGGAAAAGAAAAAGCTTACTAATTCAGTATCTATGTCTCCACACTAGGTGATTCAGAGAGAAAAGCAGGATAAGGAAAAGAGGATTTAATAACGGGTTAAATCAGTAAAGGTATATGAACCAGAAGTAGTGACAGCATAGCACACACTATGGCTAAGATTAAAAGTATAATTAAATTACCTTGGGGGTTGGATTTTGAATTTTTCAAAGACTTCTGGGTAAAGTAATGGAAATACCACCATCTCTTTTAGAGCTGCAATATGACTGGACAGGCCACCGACACTATCAAATCGTACCTGGTAATGGAAGAGAACATTGACAATATTACATTAAAAAAATTTTGGTTCTTTTGAGACAGGGTCTCACTACATACTTCAGACTGTCCTTCAATTCACAGTGATCTTCTGCCTCAGTCTCCCCAGTGCTGGGACTATAGGTGTGCATTACCATGACTACCCCAACAATATCACATTTTGATCAAAATTAAAATTCTACTCTATCTCTAAACTATACCACCCCATTCACAGATAAGACTCTCTTAGTTGGGCCAAAGATTCAAAAATAAAAAGCATAAGCCAGATGTGGTACATACTTGTAATCACAGCACTCAGGAGGCTGAGGCAGCAGGGTTGCAGTGAGTTCAAGACCAGCTTTGGCTACATAGTTAATTCAAAGTTAACCTGCACTACACAGCAAGACTGTGTGTCTCAAAAAAAGAGCATATAAATATTAAAGTTTCTGATAAGAACAAAAAATCCCCTCCCTCCTTTCTTAGTACTGGGGATTGAACACAGGGCCTTTGAACTGAACTACCCCAGTCCTCTCAAATTTTTTTTTTAAATTTTGAGACAGGCTCTAACTGAGTCACCAAGGCTGGACTTGAATCTGTGACTCTCCTGCCTCACCCTCCCAGAGTGGTATTATGGATGTGTGCCAATGCACTCAGCTCACTGGTTTCAACTAAATAAAACTAAAATAAAGAATATTATAGTTTAAGTGTATATTTCAAAATAGAGCACTCACTGAAGAATCCAGTTGCATTGGATCAACATCGGCAAGGCTTGCTCCAATTTTCATTCGATCTTTGTGGATTCCTCTTAACTCATCTTTCCGAAAATTTAATGGGAGGCACCTATTAAAAATATTGTAAATAACACACCCATCAAATCACTCTCCTCCCCAAATTCCATGTTAGAAATAATCATTTTTCTACTAATCAAATGAAAGTGTGCAGTCATTAAGACACCACAAGTACACAAAGTAATTCACCGTGGAGAATTCAGGCAGTAACAGTGTCCATTACAACCGCTGTGTCTAACATAGAGTGATAATCATTTGCGAGACACTCTTAGTTTCAGGTGCTTCCATGTATTCAGTCATTAAGTCCTTGCAGCAGTCTCAGGAGTTACAATTTTCCTCACTGAGGAGAGCTGAGGCACAGAAAGGGTAGGGAATTTGCCTAAGATCAACTTAGTAGCAAGAGGTTTAGAATCAGGTGCAAGCAGTCTGTCTCCAGGCCTCAACAACTCTGACTCCCTCTCAGCAAAACCTTCCAAGTTCACCAGCCAACCCTCTCAAGCAACAAAGCATCACCATTTCCTAGAATAGCTGCTCATTATATAGGCTGATAAACAGACTGGCTATGTTAGAGGATCATAAAGAACGCCTAAGCCAAGAGCAATGCGACTGAACACAAGGACAGGCACACTACACTCGCCTCAAACGTCAGGAGACACTGTATTATTTAATTTTATTTGATGCATGGTATGTTTATAGGGTACTGTGTGATGTTTTGATACATGAATAACTGTGATTAAATCAGGGCATTCAGCAAATCCACCACCTAATACATTTATCACTTCTTTGGGTGGAAGGTTCAAAATCCTCCTTCCTTAGCTACTCTGAGATATTAAAGACAACACAATCTGCTATTCTGTGAGACAGCAGCACTATGAGGCAGTTATGCTATAAAATTTAAGATGCACAAATTTTCAGTTACAGCTTCTTAAAAGCTATTTCTTAATTCTTGAAAAACATTTAATTAAACAATGTAAAATACACAGATTCGGTTCACATTTCCTGAATAAAGACAAAAAAATCCAAGTAGTCTAGTTATAGAGCTTTTGGATGATTTAACCCATTGCTGTACAATGGACACAAAATACAAGGCATGAATGTAACCTCACATTTTCTATTGGCCCTGCTGAACAAAGGAAAAAAACTGAAATGTTAATATTCTATCTATCCTAATATATCAGAAATATTATCACTTCTTGTAGTCAGGGTTTGCAAGGAAAATAATATAGGGCACGTAATTTATAGGATTATTTTAAAACAGTCACCCAAAGAATCATATACAAAAGAGTGCAGGAAATTTGTCTACACACTAAAGACCAAAAGAATCCATCTGAGGGCCCGGAGCCCATGGCAATGTCCTGCACGAACCCAACTGGAGGCTGAGAGCCCAGGATAACGTCTTGGGCAGGCCTGTTTTTATGATCTGTGCTGAGAAAGCCCAAAGGTCAGTGGCAGAAGCTAGAAAGTCTGCACCAGTGGGATGAAGGATCTGCGCCAGCAGGACAAGAAATCTGCACTGGAGCTAGAAAGCTACACTCAAGGTAAGGACCAGAGCTCCCCCGAAAAGTACCACAGCCATCCCGAGTGACAGCAAGGACCTGGGCTCTTCTAGCGATGAGAACAGCAGTTCATACCAGAAAAACCAGTGTAACAAGCTTCTCAGAAAGCTTGAACAGCCCACCATCTTTCCCTCTAGAGCAGGAAGCCATGCTCAAAGTAAGGACCAGTGCTCTCCCAAAGTGAACCAAGCTATTCTCAGTGACAACAAAGTCCTGAGCTTCTCTGACAATGAGAACAGCTGAGTTCGCATCAGGAAAGCCAGCATAACAAGTTCCTCCAGGAAATCCAACAGCCCCAAGAGAACCAACAGCACCTCTTATTCTTCTCCAGTTCTCTTTTTATGCTGCCGGCACCAATCTCCAGGTGGACCTCCCACAGCAGGCACCACACTGATTCAGTGCAGCTGGGTGTTACAAGCTGACCACCAGTTGCCAATCTATGACAATCAACTTGATAACCATACACAGTTCTTTGATCTACGGTCTCTAGTGGCAGATTTGTGAACAGTTAACATGTCCTGGGGTCTGTTCAGATTTATATTAATGTACAATTACATACATACAATTCTTTTGTTTGTTTGTTTTCTGGTACAGGGAATTGAACTCACAACCTTGTGCTTGCCAGGCAGGGGCTGTGCCGCTGAGCTAAATCCCCAGCCTCTATACATACAATTCTTATTGCACTCATTCCTGCACCAAAGGCAAAATATTCAGTGGGTGATCAAAAATTCAAGGTTAAAACACAATACTTTGACTAATTAACCTGATTACAAACATATCTAAAAATAACATTAAAATCGTATTAAAAGAACTATTACAAAAAAAAAAAAAAAAACTATTACAATCAGTCTTTGGTTCCCATTAACTTTTAACAAGGCATGGCAGCTGGGCATGGTGGCACATACAGGTAATCCCAGCACTCGGGAGGCTGAGGCAGGAGGATCTTTTTGAGTTCGAGACCAGCCTGAACTGCATAGTGAGGCCCTGTCTCAAAAAGACCAAAAAAAATTATATACATATAAAATTTAAAAAATAAAAACATGGCATGGCAAGATTAAAAAACAGGGATCTCCCTGCATTTCAAATACATTTTTTTTTTTTTTTTTTTTTTTTTTTTTTTTTGAGACAGGGTATCAGTATGCAGTTCAGGCTGGCCTCGAGCTCACTTTGTAGTCCAGGCTGATCTTGAACTCTCAATGATCCTCCTGCTTCAGCCTCCCGAGTGCTGGGATTACAGGCCTTTCAAATACACTCTTATCTTCAAGTGAAAAGCTTCAGTTCATTTCTCCAATGTTCTGCTTTCTTTCATCCTGGCAATCCTAAGTTCCACTAGAGCCTCCCCTCTGGCCAAGTGCTTCAAATCACTCTGCTGGCTCTTTGCTCTTAATTTCAAACACAGATCTGGCCAAAAGTTCTCAAGAGTAACTATGCCACCAAACCAACAGTAGACTGCATTGAAATTTTTCTGCTAGATTAATTAGTCTTCCACCCTTAATCTCAGTCTTGGGCCAAGTCTCTGGACAAGACCAAAATGCAGACAAACTTTCTGCCAAGCCACAGCACACATTGTCTGGAGTCCAACAGCCAATGCAGTCCTTCTTCCAGCAGAAATCTCCCGAGCCTGGTAGTTACCAGAATGCTGATAGAAATGGTTTTGGTAAGAAATGATTCTTCTGAGCTCTGACCAGAATCTCCCATACAGAACAGCCTAGGCATTCCAGCTCTATTCTTTCAGGCAACATCTCCGATCCTTTCCAAACTCTTCCCACAAGCCATCCCCAAAGGCTCTTGAACCACATGGTCAGGTACAATCACAGCAACAACCCCACTTCTCTGGTACTAAATTCTTAAGTTACTTTTCTCTCATTGCTGAGACAAAATACCTGATGCCCAAAATCAAGGAAGGAAAGGTTTATTTAGCTCACAGTTCATGGAGGTTTCAGTCCACACTCAGCAGGCTCCAAGGCAGAGAGGCACATGGCAGAGGGCAACAGTTCGTAGCAGCAGAAGACAGCAAAAGCACCAAGAGCAAAAAGGGAGGAGCAGCAAGCAGCCATTTTTCCTCCTTTATATTGTATACAGGCTGCCTGCCCCAGGGCAGGTGTAGCACTCACACCCATAATCCCAGCATTGAACCATGAATCAATCACAAACTCTAGAAGCCTGCCCAATGACTGCACGAGGCTTTGGGAGGACGTCCAGATACAAACCATAACATCACTTCAACATATAATCCAGTTATTAAAAAAAAAAAACAGATTTCACTTTCTTTTATTGGGGGGTTAACTTTTTAAAAAAATCTAAACATGTATTTTATACAATGACTGCCCTGCTATTATCTACATTTCAAGCATCAACAGCCACAATTTTAAGAGTGGCTGTTTAAGAGTAGCTGGCTAAGCTAGCTAGTGTCTACTGTATTTGGTGGGCCAGACTGAACATGATATAAGACTAGAGCTTAGGGATACAAAGCATGGTTGTGCTGGGCATGGTGGCACATACCTGTAACTCTAGCACTCAGGAGGCTGAGGCCGGAGGATCATTACAAATTCAAGACCAGCCTGGGCTAACAAAATGAGCGCAAGGCCAGCCTGAACTGCATAGTGAGACCTTGTCTCAAAAAGACAAAAACAAACAAATAAAAAACAAAGCATGGTTCTATGCTCCTTCAACTATTATGTTTCCACTGCTCTGCCGAGCGTTATTTTTTACTCTAGTAATATTTTATTATTGGAATCCAACCACTGCATTCTCACTCACCCACACCTATAAAACTGTAGGGATAAATGGGATCCCCGAGGTAGACTCAGAAAAGGGACAGGGGTTGCTGTGGTGTCCCAACAAGCAGTCTGGAACTGCTTTTGCAACCTTGTCCAGCCGACTCTTGCACTACTGACTCCAAACGCCTAGCAACAAGACAGACAAACCAAGTGGGTGAGGCGGCCCCTAGGGGGAAAGACCACACCTCAACCCCATAAATACAGGACTGCTACCCACACTCAGGAATCACCCAGCTCTGGGGCCCTCACTCCTCAAGGGTGTATCTCTTTCTTCTCTCAAAAAACTTTACTCTCGCTTTGCACTGTCTTCTGATTCCTCTTCCTCTTTCTCCGATGGAGAGAGACAGGCCAGGAAAATCTGAGGGTGGGCTGGAGACCCCAGGTGCCCCTTGGGATGCAACAAATAAGAATAATCCCTGACATGTTTCATATAATTATTGTGAAAAATCAAATGAGCTGACTAGTATATATGGACTTATACAGTTATAAAATAATAAATCTTTCAATTTTAAGAGTTCCAAAGTAAGAATCCATTTTATGTGGAAGAAATATATGTCAAATGAAAAAATATTCCCTCAGGTCAGTGTTCAACAAGCACCACTGTGGGCTATGTAATGGTCTGGCAAGGAATTGCCATCAGATGCTGTAAAGTATGGCTTCAACTATAAATGTCTCCAGTAAGACAGTACTTGGCTCTATACATTAGCCTGTGGTGCAACTTCTTTATTAGCGAAGCTGTTCCTATTCCCAAATTATTCTACTTTCTTACCACTTCTAAAAAAATAGCTGGCAGTTTATTTAAAAAGTAAGCCCGGAGCTCACCTACTGATAGCTCTATTACGGCTCCTTTTTCTGCGCCTCTCAAAGCGCTCATCTTCAGAGGAGGATGATGATGTGGAGTCACTGCTGTGGATCGCATGCCTGCGTCTGAGGGAGGGCAGGAAGAAAAGGCACAGAACGTAAGCATGAGAGATACCTAATGGTCCAAAAGGTTTGTCATAAATTCAGTGTACGTGTAAAACTGCTACAGGAAGCTTTGTTAAATTTTTAAAAAACAATAAACTTAGCTCAGAGAAGAGAGGAAAAGATGGAGGGGCTATGGTAGAACCATTTGATGTTTATTGAGATAATTACCCATGTAAAGTGCTTTCTTAGTTTTGCTATAAATCAGTTATTCTCAAAAAACAAAGGTAAACTGGGTATACTGGCTTATTCCTGTAATCCCAGCACTCTGGGAAGCTGAGAGAAAAAGATCACAAATTCAAGTCCAGCAGGGGCAACTTTATGAGATCCTGTCCCAAAATGAAAAACAAAAAAGCACTGGGGATATAGCTCAGTGGGAAGGTCCTAGGTTCATCCCCTGTACAGAAATAAGGGAAAGAGGGGGGATAGAGTATTACAGTCTTTGGAACTGTAATTTGAAATGCAACTAACTCTCAAAAGATGAGATTAGGCCCTAGTTGGATCCCTAGCACTACCAAAAAATAAAAATAAAAATTTTGAGAAGCAGTAGGAAAAAAGACGCATTTTTTATGTATAGTATATTATCAATCATATACTCACAACTCTATCACTAGTAACTTTGTAAAATGTGGATAAGTTATATCTCCATAGAAGTTTTCTTACAATAAAAGATAAATACATCAAACTCTTAGGCTGGCTGGTAATACTAAAAAAGATGCCAAGTGCTGCAAATCTGCACCAAAAAAAGTCATCATCACTTGTACCAAAGAACTTACAGGAAAACAATTTGGCTGGGGAAATCTTTAATCATTCTACTGGCTCAGAGTCTATTTCCTGACTCTGTGGTATTACTGTGGTATAATCATGGTAAACAGGGGCTGGGGATTTAGCTCAGCGGCACAACGCCTGCCTGGCAAGCATGAGGTTGTGAGTTCAATTCCTGGTATGGGGGAGGCGGGGAATCATGATAAGTATTCAGAAAAAGATTCATAATCTCTTGTCCATATAATGTAGACCTAGAATGTCCTATCTAAAAAAACCTGCCTAACTAAAATGATACAAGGTAATTTATGGTCTCCACTTGTCCTATTTCATGTCTTACTACAGCATTATCAATACATTTTAGAATTACTAATACATTTGACTATGTGGTGCTGACTTAAACACTTTTAATGTTACATAAAGAGGAAAAATAATTCTCCACTTGTCCACCTAGCCAAGACTACTTGTGTGATCCTGAAATAAAATTATCTAGTATAAGCCTGCAATTTTAAATGAAGACAAACTTCTTTATCATTATTAATATTAGTCTATAAGGTATCCATATGATTAGGACACATTTCATAATTAATAAAAGTAACTAACATTTACCGACTCTTCCTGCACCTGTGTAACACATTATCTCAACCCTAACTGAAATCTCCACCAAGCACTTTTAACAGTGGGCTCGTTTTGCCATCATGGCCAACGTGGCTTGCAAGTCAATACAAATTCGCTCACACACCGTCATCACTCACTAATGGTGTCAGATTTCAAACCTCGGTCTGTCCCAAAATCCACACTGAATACAGTACTACACAGGTGATTTCCAGTTATTTCACAAATCAATAAGGTTATAAACAGACAATAACAAAACTTTGTGGACCAACATAAGATTTTCAATGTTTGACTTAAGAAATCTTAAATACCAAAGTACAGCTATGCTAGACACTATTTTAAATGCTTTCCATGAGTTATCTCATACACTATGAAACAGATGCTATGATTCATTCCTATTATACTGATTTTAAAAAAAAGTCCAAAACCCCAAACCAGAGGCTAAGTAACTTGCCAAAGGGTCATTAGGTAAGTGGTGGGCTTCGCTCTCAACCTTGGCAGCCTGAGTCACGGGGCCAGGCTCCTGTCAATTGTTCTCTACTGCAAAACCCACTACTTCAGTTGTGATTTTCAACATACATATCCACATCTGCTCTTTTCCCCACCATTTTACTAAAAACCAATGAAAAACCTGGCATCAGCTGGTGTGGTGGCATGCAGTTATAATCTAAGTAGCCTGGGAAGTTCAGGCATGAGGACTGCAAGTTTAAACCTAGGCTGTCAGCACAGAAAACCTTTTGTTACTCAGGAGAATGAGAAATTATCACGGATTACCTCCTTGGACTTAAGCTATGTAACTTAGAACATCTGACATGGTAGAAAAATAGATGTGGAAAAAAAGACTAAACCTGTATTCTAAAGATTAAATAAAACAATCTATGAAAAATGCTTAACAGAGAGCCAGGAATACAGTAAACACTAAGTCAGTGGCAGCTTTATTATTCAAGCATGGAACAATGAAGTAAAGCACCTTACTAAGGCAGTGCCTAACACTTTCTATTTATGGGGGCAAAAGCAAAAACTAGTTGGTAGTACTGCAAATGATAGCATTAACAGCACAGAGCAAGGCTCTCCCACCTAAGCAATTCTAGAACTCTACACCAATGTACTTGATCCAAAGGTTCTAGAACCCGGCCCTAACAGAGCCACAACTGTAACCATAAAATGATCACAACTTCAGAACCAAACCTGTTCATTCGTTTACAGTAAGGGCTTCTTGGTCCCGCAGAAGACAATCGGTATCTCGGTCTTACAGGAGAAGCTGGGCCTCTGTAAAATATGTTGGGCTTTTTCTGGTGGCGAGGTTCTATGAAAAGACATATGGAGCACAGAAATACATGTAATTTCTCTCTTCATCTATGATCTACAAAGCTGCTACCTTCTGCAAAAGAATGAATTATGCTCACAAACCAAGGTTTTACTGTACCATAAACATCTATAGGGGCTGGGGATTTAGCTCAGCGGCACAGCGCCTGCCTGGCAAGCACAAGGTTGTGAGTTCGATTCCTGGTACCAGAAAAAAAAAAACCAAACAAACAAAAAAAACAAAACAAAAAACATCTACAGTAACTTGTTCTGAGTGCGCAAACATTTCTAGTAAATTTCAACCTGCTTAACAAGCAAAGTTTTACAAGCACTATGTGACACTGAACATCACAAGATCACAACTGAGCCAGTGGTTCTCTCTTTTGCTGCAGGACTATGGGTGACTATCTCCCAACAGTGATGAGATGGAGATCTCACCTGCTGTGGCGGAGGGAAAAAAGGAGGAATCCCTGAGACTAGGGTGATGTGTAGTATGTGGGAAACTACACAATACTGCAGAAAATCAGGCTGGGTATAGCGGCACATGCCTGTAATTTTGGAGGCTGAGGACTGCTTGTGAGTGTGAGGCCAGCCTGGGATACACAGATGTTCAAGTACAGCCTGAAATACCTAAGGAGACCCTATCTCAGAAAACAAATCAAAACAAAACAAAAGCAAAGCAAAGCAAATAAATGAGATAAGGTAGCACCACTTAACAACAATGCAAATGTCGCATTTCTGTGAAATCCTCAAAAGGCAAAACCAAGTGCTGTGGCTAGCTTCCTCATTAAATTGCAAGGAAAGAGATTCCAATGAGCCAGCAGTGACTCCGTCAGTGACAGTGAAAGCCATCCTACACAGTAAGCCTCCGCAAACATCTCCCTCACGCCAGCCATGAAGGGTTTCAAAGGTAAGTGCACGATAATTTGTTTCTTGTTCTTTATATTTTGTATTACCTCACAGTACTGTCATTTTTACATGAATATTTTTGGGTTATAGAATGAAGCATCTGAGTTCTCATTATCTCTTATAGGAAAATTCACTTTGATATGTAAGTGCTTTAGGCTACAAGCATGTTTCCTGAACAAATCATGCTCACAAACCAAGGTTATACTGTACTATAAATATGTAATGCATATTTTATTGTTTGTCTTATCTACAAAGTTGCTATTGAAAACATCAACTGATGAAAAATCAGTGTTCATAATCAACCATCATGAATGTACTGATGCACAGATGATTAACAGCTATAAATGTAAATGTGCACAAGTGTCGAGGTACAACATTAGCAGATCAACAGCAGTTCTACTTATAAAAACTGACAAAATAAATCAAGAAAGCTATGCAGTGTAAAATAAGACACATGGAATTTTGAAACAACTCAATTATTTCCTTTGCTCAAGGCTAACATTCAACTTTTCTTTGCAACAATGATGCCTTTCAAATTTTGAATAGGTTAAGACAGTAATCACAGTAATCACAGCTGGGCGCGGTGGCTAGCTTCCTCGTTAAATTGCAAGGAAAGAAAGATTCCAATGAGCCAGAATACAGTAATCCCTGCACTTGAGAGGCTGAGGCAGGAGGATCACTGTGAGTTCCAGGCCAGCCTAGGCTACAAAGTGAGCTCAAGGCCAGCCTGAACTGCTAGCAAGACCCTGTCTCAAAAAGACAAAAAATAACAACAAAAACAAAAAAACTGGACAGTAATCATGAGTCGGGGACATAGTGGCACAAGCCTGTAATCCCGGCCCTCGCACTCAGGAGGCTGAGACCGGAATATGTTGCAAGTTTGAGGACAGCCTGGGCTACAATGTGAGGGCAAGACCAGCTTGAACTACATGGTGAGACCCTGGCTCCAAAAGAAAGAAGAAAAAAAGACAGTAATCATAAGTATGTAGCAAAATGAAAACAAGAAAAAGAACAACAAAGGCAGGCCAGGTGTGGCAGTGCACGCCTGCCATCCCAGCACCTGGGAGGCTGACAAAGGAGGATCATTGCAAGTGTGAGGCCATCCTGGGCTGTAGAGTGAGTTCAGGGTCAGCCTGAAGTGTACAGCGAAACCCTGTCTCAAAAGGACAAGGAATAAACAAACAACAAAGGCTGGCCAGTAGAAATAAAGGTAAGATAAGTATCTTCTGCAAAAAGTATATACTCTTCCACTAACTTTCCAATGGAGCCTGGTAGTAAACTGTTGCTTTTCTCTGTCTAAGGTAGTAACGTTTCTGATTATCTTCCTCTCCATCTTCATCATCGTCGTCGTCATCATCATCGTCATCTTCTTCCCCATCATCCTCATCTTCTTCTTCCTCCTCTTCTCCGTCCTCTTCCTCTTCCCCATCACCATCGTCCTCATCTTCACCATCATCATCATCATCATCTTCTTGGGGTTCACCCTCTTCAGACGACTCTACAATTAAGAAACACGTGCAAAAGGAGAGTCACCAAACACAGTTAATGACTTTTGTCTCAAAACAAGAAAGTCACATTTACTTGGGGCGAATTAGTATTGTAATTAGGGAAAACAGAGCCAAACGTCTTGAAACTGTATTCCTGGTTAATTTTTAACATGGGAGTCAGGAGGAAGACTCTCTCTTTAAATTTACCTACTCCTAGATCATCCGTAGAATCTGCAATTCTTTTGCACATTAAACAAAGATTTTTTTTTTTTAATTTTTTTTTTTTTTTTTTTTTTTTTTTGGTTTTTCTTCGGTACCGGGAACCGAACTCACGACCTTGCACATGCCAGGTAGGCGCTTTTGCCGCTGAGCTAAATCCCCAGCCCCTAGATTTTTTTTTTAAATGCAGTAAAAAATTATAGCACTAAAAACATCCAGGAAAACAAACAGGAAAAAAAGGGAGCACAGAAAAAATTTTAAACACTATCAGTACCAAACCAAACTTCACAATGTTCCTGTGCATTTTATTAGTAACACTGGCCAATAGACTTAAACTTCCAAAGTAATGTAACAAGTTTAACATCTCCCCACTCAGTGTTTGCCTTTTCAACTTAAGTCTGACATTCCATCTAGCCCTTCTTGCTGTCACTGAATTACACAGAGCACAATTCAGATAATATACTTAGGATAACAGTAAAAGATCCTCATCAGATGTTTAAAACATATTTCAAAAATTCATTTCACTAAAAAAATTATATTACTAAGTCCTAAATGAAACAGCAAAACTTTAATCATTTTATCTAAGCTCCTGAGATACATGATGCAGTCTGTAGATGTATTATACCAGCAAACATTATTTGCTTCAGAGTTACTGATTTTATTTTCTGCAACAAAACATACTACTCCTTAAAGCTCTCCCGTCATCACTTTTTAAAATGATGACCAATCCTATGACTCTCATGAACTACCATATACACCACAGCTCCTGAATAAACAGGCCACTTCCTACTAAATGAAAAGTAATGAAATTCAAAAAAAAGAGCGAGAAAAGACGAACCTACGCTGCCTTCTTGGTTATCAGTTGCTTCTTCATCAGCTCTTTGAATTCCTTTTTGTTTTCCCCTTGTATACATATTAAGATTGTCCTACAAATGTTCACATAAAAGCCATTAACATTTAGTATGTGTTCATCAATTCAGTAAGACCCTTCAATCTTTCTTAAAATGAGTATATTTATAGCTATGTATTCTTAAAACTCCAGGAGCAATTAGTGACTGATCAAATGCTAGACAAAGTAATGAATAATTTAACCAAATAGATTATATACTATAGCAAACAGTTAACAAGGACAGTAAATCATGCTCTTAGGAAAGAAAAGATTTACCTCTTCTGTCTCATTATACACTCTCAAGTCTCCAAGTTTTCTCAGTCGCTGTCTACGCATCTTCTTCATGTCATCCATTTTTTGAAGTACAGCTTCAGCAGTGCTTTAACAATATCAAAAAGTAAGAAGCACTGATTAAATAATGCAAAGATATCTTGAAATGTCTTTGCTTAAATGTAAACATACATATAGAATCATTACAAAAACCTCAAACACTTTCTTTTATACTTCACACAAACTTAATATATTAAATACGTTCAGGATGGTCAAAACTCATGAGCCTTCTCCAACAAAAAGGTTCTGCCACTTAAACCATCTTGAACTGGGAACTTTCACTTACTTTGTTATAAGTTTGTCGAACAGCACAGACTGATTCACAGCACTGTAACGACTTCTAATCCTACAACTGCGGCGAACTTCAACATCACCGTTCTCTGCACACAGGTGTTGCGTGGTCTGAACGATGTTTCTAGTCCTCAATGACCGTGTGATCACTTTGTCTTCACAGATATACACATAAAATAAAGATTTGAAATAATACAAATACGCAACTCGAAATGAACATGAGTAGCTTTTATGTAATTAAGTTATAGTTCTTTTTTCTAAGTTATAGTAACTTAAACTTACTTCTCTTAAAAACGTTAGAAATCAAAAATCAAAACAATATACACCTGCTATATATATGACCTAGCCCTTCCACTCCCAACAGAAGATATGTAATAATAAACTTGTGCAGGAGTATTCAAAGCAGTTCATAACTGCCCCAAACTGGAAACGATTCGTATCTATTAAAAGACGTGCTATTGTGCTGTATATCCAGATAACGGAATACTATCCAGCAACAAAAAGAACATGAAAGAGACTCAGCAATTATTCTGAATGAAAGAAAGCCGACAGGATATATGCTGTATAATTCCATTTATATAAAATGAGATCCTGAAAACTAGTCTTCAGTGACAGACCAGCAGTTGCTTGGGAATCGAGAACTGAGAGGGCCTATGGGCTTGAAGGAAGCTGGGAGGGTGGGTGTCTGCACATCTACTGAGGTGATAGCTTCATGCACATACTTATATGAAATGATGACAAGCTATAGTCTATATATGCAGGTTACTGTAAGTACCTTGATAAACTTGCAAATACAATATTAAATGTATGTTTAAAAAATCTGAAATGGGGCTGGGGATATAGCTCAGTAGCACAGCACCTGCCTGGCAAGAGCAAGGTTGTGAGTTCAATTCCTGTTAAAAACAAAACAAAACAAAACAAAACAAAACAAAACAACAAACACACAACGAAAAACCAAACACACACACAAATCTGAAATTCAGGCCGGTGATCTAGCTCAGTGGTTCAGTGCTTGCCTAGCACACACAAGGCCCTGAGTTCAATCCCTAGTGCCATCAAAAACCCCCCAAACAAAAACTGAAATGCAATCAACATTACTTACCTTCTTTGCACTCTTCTGTTTTTTTACTAGCCTGTTGTCTGGCCAACTGCCTGCATGAACAAGAAATATTCATTCAAAATAACTGACACAATTTTAAATCCAATACTATATGATACTACAAACTAAGACAAAAAGTTAAATTAACTTAAGATAATAAATACCCAGATACTTAAAAGCCCCATATCAGCCCAAAAAATAGCTTGAAAAGATCTATGCTTATATAGGTAATGGCTAAAAAAGTTTTAAGATTCTTGTTATGAAATTCAGTGGTATAAAAGCCAGGGGTGGTGGTGCATGCCTGTAATTCCAGCACTTGGGAGGCTGAGGCAGGAGGATCACCGCAAGTTCGAGGCCAGCCTGGACTACGAAGCGAGACACTGACATAAAACCAAATAAATTCAGTGGTATATGCATTAGCTCTTAAATGAGCAGAATTAATCCAAGTATCTTTCTTGGAAGAAGTGAAGTCATTTAAGTATTTGAGCACAGTTGAACCAAGTGTTGCACAAAACCAATACAACATATTTCACACATCACAGGGATGTAGTGGCCCCATATCCCTGGGGAATTCATAACTATAATCAGAACCAGTGTCTCTTAACAATATGTTAATTGTCTTCTAAGAACATCTGCCAGCAACAATCTTTATACAATATCCATTATCATCATTCACATGTGGAAATAGTCCCACATGGGAATCAGATATTCCACCTACAAACTGGCAGACAGCATCTACTGAAATGGAAAGAACACTTTGCCAACCTTAAAAAAAAGTACCCTTCATTCATCTTTTTTTAAAAATCCACACACTGATCAAATAAGAGTATGACTCATTTACTTATTTTTGGTAATTTAAATTTCCCATACTCAGGCTGTTATCTGTTAATCAACCTATACATCATGCCATTTGCAAGTAGGCCAGTGGACTATACATGTGGACTTTCAAATGTTAGATTTTAAAATAAAACACCACCTTATCTGGGCGAGTTAGTTCATATATTCTCAGAAAAGTCATTAACAATGGATTACCTCTCGGAACCCAGAGAAGAACCAAAACGAAACTAAAAGCTTTTGATCTGTCCATCAAAGTTCATTCAGAATTTTACACCTTCCTCCTAAAGGAGATCCTTCCATGGAAGATGTAGGATGTTATGAACACACTAATTAAATCAGTAATTTTTCCTTTCACTCTTTTTTTCCCCTGCAGGGGAAAGGAAGTGCTTTTATTTTTGTAGGGGTTGGTAGACTTTATTTTGCTAGATAGTAAATATTTTAGGCTTTTGAGCTATACAGTCTCTATCACATCTACTTGACACTGTAGCATGAAATTAGCCATAGATAAGATGATTGGGCATAAATGCAATTATTTACAAAAACAGGTAAGCAGATTTTATCAACCTCTGCCATCTGATGAAAGCTACTGATCTTTATTCCCTACAAAACTGTACACATACACAAGTTTAAACATTACTGCAGAAGATTCATGTATCCCTAAAGACAACAAATAATCACTGGACCTTAGTTAAGAACCCCAGGATCAGTGAAAGATATAGATACCACTTTCACGGTACAGTTACTCAAAACTTTATGTATCTTTCTAACACCGGGTCTCTGGTCTTTCAGGCCATCCCAAAAAAACAGAGGTGGGGGGTGTAAGCAAAAAAGGATAACTAAGCAGCACATACTGGTAGGATTAAGAAACAGAAAGTACACAAACTTGAATTCAAAAATACTATCAGCCAGGGGCTGGGGAATTTATGGCACAGTGCCTGCTCAGCAAGTGCAAGGCTGTGAGTTCAATCCCTGGTACCAGAAAAAAACCAAAAAAAAAACCAAAAAAAAAAAAAAAGAAAAAATACTATCAGCCATTTGATATAAGCCTTGTACAAACAGATTCTGATGTTACCACCATGTAAAATAATAGACAATATTTGTAATAATAATATATGGAATTAATTTTATATAGGAATTCTCACAGAAGACATACAAATGGACAATAAGCAAATAAAAAGATATACAGTATTAGCCATTAGGAAAATGAAAATTACAATCACAGTGAGATACTTCATCCCCATTAAAGGCTAACTCCAAAAAGACTATGACAGGCGGTGATAATGTGGAGAAATTACAACCCTCATTCAGTGCTGGTGGGAATATAAAATGGTGCAGCTGCCTTGAAAACATAGGATGGCCATGCACCAAAATGCCAATGCTGCCAATGACCACCCAATTCCACTCCCAGGTATATTCCCAAGGGAATTAAAAAAAAAAACCAACACAGAAACTTGTACACCAAAAAAGAAACAAAAAACAAAAAACTTGTACACCAAAGTTTGTAACGTTATTCACAATAGCAGGGGCTGGGGATTTAGCTCAGCGGCAAAAGCGCCTGCCTGGCAAGCGCAAGGTCGTGAGTTTGGTTCCCGGTACCGGAGAAAAACAAAAAAACAAAACAAAACAAAACAAAACAAAACAAAACAAAACAAAACACAACAGCAGAAAAATGGAAAGTAGCCCATGTCCACAAACTGATAGGGAATAAACAAGTCATGACCCGTTCATACAACAGAATCTTATTGTGCAACTGAAAAAGCTAAGCATGACAGACAGTGCATGGACAAACTCTGAAAACATTATACCATGTGAAAAATGACAGACACAAATGCCATGTATAACATGATTTTATTTATACAAAATGTCTGTAGTAGACAATCTGCTCAGATGAAAGTAGATTCATGATGGCCAAGGGGTAGGAGACAGGTGGGGGCAAGAGCTGTGAAAGTTAAAGGGGTACAAAGTTTCTTTTTGTGTTTGCAAAATTGCTGTGAAATTGGACAGTGATCATTACAATACTGTTAATAGATTAGAATGACTGATGAATTGTGTACTTTAAAATCATTAAATTTTATGGTATACGAAAAATAATGGAATTCAATGTATTTTAGAGGGATTTGATTAAAATATCAAATCAGATGGGTGAGCGGCACACATCTGTAATTCCAGGACTCAGGAGGCTGAGGTAAGAAGATGGCTGAATTTGAGGCCAGCCTCAGCTACACAGTGAGTTTAAGGCAGTCTGAACTACAAAATGAGATTCTGTCTCAAAACACAAACAAAAACAAAAACTTTTGTGTTACACTGTATTTCAGTTTAGTATCTCAGAAACTGAAATGTGTGGCTGGGCTTGGTGGCCAATGCCTGTAATCCCAGTACTCAGGAGGCCAAGGCACAGCCTGGGCTACAAAGTGAGCTCAAGGCCAGCCTCAACTGCACAGTGAGAACCCTGTTTCAAAAAGACCACAAAAACCCCAAAAAACTTAGGACAAAGTTTCTTACAGCACTGATTACAAACTGGCATTTTACAAGCATGGTGTGGTCAGCAGTCCTATCCTTGCTGCAGGGCGCTTGGTGCCTCTTTTCTGCTGCTTTTGTCACTAAGCTGTCTGGGTTCTCCTGTAACAGGAATCTCCAGTGCCAGGATTTCTGCTGTGAGTTTTCCTACTCTTATGGGCACTTTTTCAGTTGCCATTCTGGAACACGGATTTTCCTCAATTTAGTGCACCCCAGGGGGTTTAATAATCAAAATGTTGGGGCCCAGCACATAGCTCAGTGGCACAGCGCCTGCCTGGCAAGCATGAGGTTGTGAGTTCCACTCCTGATACCAAAAAAACCCACAAACAACAACAAGAAAAAAAAACCCAAAAAGAAACCAACATCAAAATGCTTTATTATTTCACCTCATTATGCAAACTGTACAGCACATGGGCATTAACACCCACAGTATTTAAAATGGCCTAAAAATTGCCACTGGCCAATGGCTGGTCCTCCTGGATGTCAGACACAGTAAAACGCTCATTTTCCACTGAAGTGTCAACAGAAGCACTGTGCTACATGACACCTCACCTCTCCCGATACATACAAAACTAATGTGCTGACAGCAGAAGATCCAAATACTGATCTGTTTTCTATTTGGTAAAAATTCAGGTGGTACAGCCCGCTTCATTTTTTCTCAAAGTGTCTACATAAATCAAGTTTTTCTTTTTAAGTTCATCATGAAGTTCCACTAAGCTGTATCAACTGTCACTCCTATTGTTCTGCTAATAAATATATATACAATTCTTTTAGTACCTTTAATACATTCCACAAGCGTAAGAACACCTCTTGTGGGATTTGATCGGGTTGGCTGTCGTCTTTACCTCTGCACCAGCATGTATTTCTGCACTTTGCTGGTAATGATCTCAGTGTCTGCTGGAACCTGCACCTTCACTCCCTCTGTAGCTGGCTTTAGTTCCTTCATAAGGCATAAGCATACTAAATCTGCATCTTCCTCGAGATGGTCCTAACGTCTCATCTACAGTCAGCTGAAATCTAGAAGTAACACTGACCTGCTGACAAATTCCTCAAGTGAGGCACAGACAGCAGCTAACTTACTTGACTCTCTCTTTTCTAGTTTCGACATTATCAAATCTGATGTAACATACTAAAAATGAAACTCAAGCCAGACTCATAGCAGCACGAAATATGGGCCTTCCCATTCCCCCTGTTGCCCACAATGGATGGTATCTTTGCGACCAGACTTAAAAATAGTGAAAACTACAAAAACTTAGTGCTTTAACACAAAAAAACAAGCTCTGTCGTGTTTACTACTGACGGGTCGCCAGGACCTGACATACTGCATTTTTTCCTCTGTGCAGAGTTGCAGACACTGAGCAAAACTCTCTGCTGGATTAGGTACTCCACGTGGCAGGAGACTAGAGAAAGGCTGAGTATGCGATGCAGACAAATGAAGAAAGTAGCACTTTTAAAAACGTGTTGAGTCCTCAGGAACCATCTGTAGTAGGTGCTGGTTAAATATGCATAAAAACCCTAGTCCCAATAAACTAATTTTTAAAAACCCCAAGGAAAGTTTTTTTAAAAAATCACATATTCTGCCTCTTTTGTAAGGACTACTTTAGAATCACACGAATATACAGAAATTTATAAATGACTCAGAAATGGGGAAAAATTTGATAGCAAGCAATCAGAAACAGAACTGTTTTGAATGAAACAGATTGTGTACAGGCTATGAGACAGAACCACAAGTCACTTCCCAGACATGCTGCTTTGAACAAGAAAACAAAGACAAGCCTGACTGGGTACAGGCATATTTAATTTTAATTTGATAATATTCACTTGTGACAATTTCATTTCAAATAAATTAATTTACAACACGGAAACCTTGATAACTGGCCAAAAATACACTTGAAGAATTAAATACAAATTCCTGGTTTAAAACAATCTGCACGACTTGCCAACCCTCTCGCGTTACCTTGTAAAGTGCCTGCCAATAGCATGTTTCTCCGTTATTTCCGTTTTCTTATGGAAACTAGAATCTGAAGAAGTCTGCGCACTTTTTCTCAAGGACCTTAAAGAACGTGTCTGGTGATACGTTCCGACTTCCTTAACTGAAGATCCATCCTTTAAGAAAAATTAAGAGAGCTATCAAGTCTTTTAGCCAAAACCCTCAATTTAAACTCCTCCTAAAAGTTTTCTTCTGGCTACAAGTTAGTAAAAATTGCTTTTGCTGCAGAATCACTTTGTATCTCTTCAAGAAACATTAGTTGACATCTCATTTCAGAATAAATATCAGCAACCGTCTGGCTACAAGTTAGTAAAAATTGCTTTTACTGCGGAATCACTTTGTATCTCTTCAAGAAACATTAGTTGACATCTCATTTCAGAATAAACATCAGCAACGGTTACAGAATAGCTAATACAAGATGTACTGATGGTTCACAGTTCTATTTCATAACTAGTGGTCTAGACAGTGAAGTTTTCTACCATGGGTTTTTGAAAGTATTTTAATTCCTGTCCTGCTCTCTGCCTACCTTTACCTTGTCATTTAATTGGTTTTGGGTAGCACATCTGGCTGGTTTGCAAGTAAAGTAAGATTTTTTTTTAAAGGTTAGCAGGAGATGGCTAAAGTTAAGAGACAAGGATCTGTCTAAGAAATAGATGGGCATGTCATGAAACATTAAATGATACTCATGGTCTGTTACCACCTTTACCAGTTATGCCTGTATTTAAGGATATTTGAAAAAAGAACACCTATATCTTAGATCACTAGTGTAATAATAAGACTTCCTATGGAATGTTTTAAAGGAACCTAATTCCAGATTCTCAACTCTCTTAAATTCTTTTTTATTTGCGGGGGTGGGGGTGGGGGTGGTGTGGTGTGTGTGTGTGTGTGTGTGTGTGTGTGTGTCTCTCTCTCTCTCTCTCTTTGAGACACAGTCTCGCTATGCAGTTCAGCCTGGCCTTGAGCTTGCAATGATCCTCCTGCCTCAGCCTCCTGAGTGCTGGGATTACAGCTGTGTGCTACCACACCTGGCCCTAAATTCTTTCTCTTAAAAACACCTGCTAGCAGCCCAACACCTCCCATTCATTCGTCCTTCTCATTTCTCACCCATTCAGGACCCAGGGGCCTGAAAACCTTAGTAAAGCCAAGGACAATACTGATGCGAGGTGTCAGGAAGGAAGCTAATGATCGTGACAGATCCTTTCACTTGGTGAGTCGTTTCCAGTTCTTTTTCTCAACACAATTGAGATCTAATAAAGCCGAGTGCTAAAAATAATTTTTGGCAAATGATCTGACACATAAACAGAAAGGCCTAAGTGGCTCCAAAACAAAACTTTCATTACGATCAATTTACTTATATGGAGTGTGCTTACATTTATAAAAACAGTGGAATTGATGCAGAACACTGTCTAGTAGTAACGAACACTCTCAAGTGGATGAACTGAGACTATCAGGTATTTGTGTGTGCATATTCATAGCATGATACTCACAACAGTCAAAACAGGAATCCAAGTGTCCACTAACAGAACAGCGGATAAATAAAATGTGGTATACACAATGGAATATTATTGACTTTAAAAAACAATGGATATTTTAATATGGGCTCTAACATACATTTTGTTTTTGCATTTTTTTTCAGACAGGGTACTGCTGCATAGTTCATGTTGGCCTTGAACTCACATTCCTCCTTCCTCAGTCTCCAAAATGCTAGGATCATACACATGCACCACCATACTTAGCATGAATTACCTTTTAACTCATTAAAATAGCTGGGCGTGGTGGTGCACACCTGTAATCCCAGCACTCGGATCACTGCAAGTTCGAGACCAGCCTGGGCTACAAAGTACGCTCAAGGCCAGCCTGAACTGCATAGCGAGACCCTGTCTCAAAAAGACAAAAAAAAAAAAAAAAAAGACATTAAAATAACAAATTACAAAGAGACAAATATTACATATGATTCTTCTATGTGATTCAGTCAAATACAGAAAGAGCAGAACAGTAGTTGTCAGGGAATAGGGAGGGAAGAACAAGGAGTCAATGTTTAATATTTTGAAAGATGAAAATGTTCCAGAGATGGATAGTGATGATGGTTAGTTACAGAAAATGAATGTGCTTAATGTTGCAAAACTGTACAGTTAGAAATGGAAAATCTTATATTATCTGCATTTTGCTGTAACAAGGTAAATGCTACCATATTCCAGGGGATAATAAAAAACTATCAGTTTCCATAAGAAAAGAAAAAGGGGGGTAATTATACTGGGAGAAAAGAGTCACCGAGAAACTTGGAAGAATCAATCCTAGCATATCAAAGAACCTTAGATCTGCACTGAGTGGCTTGAGAGTTCATTCTCTCTAAGCACCAGGTATGGTGTATAAAAAAACAAAACAGGCTTTTGGAGAATCGTGTAAGTATATATTAGAAAATTTTAAATCTAAATAACTCTCTCTTTTTTGAGACAGGATCTTGCTATGCAGTTCAGGCTGGTTTTGAACTCACAATGGAGCCCAGGCCATCCTGGAACTCGTGATCCTCCTGCCTTAGTCACCTAAGGGCTGGGATTACAGGTATGCACCACCACGCCCAGCTTCTAAATACCTTTCAAAAACACACTTCAAGGCTGGAGGAACAGCTTAGCAGTAAAGCACCTGCCCACCTTGGTTTTAATCTGCAGCATCATTTAAAAAAAAAAAAAAAAGCTCATTACTATTGGAAAAATGAAGAAATGCACAAAAATGAAAATGTCTCCCTTAACTTTAGCCATCACCATCCACTGCTACCTTTTGCTGAATACACCATTCTATTTCTTGCAAACATATGTTCTTTTTTTCCCTTGTGCAGGTGATTGTTATAAGCATGCACTCTTTACCAGCACTCACATGATTTTAAAATTGAACTGCACACATTTGATAACTCTTTCCAGTAATACATTTTTCTGTATCATTAAATATTCTAAAATATTTTATTTTATTTTATTTTTGTTTTTTGTTTTTTTTCCGGTACCGGGAACCGAACTCACAACCTTGCACTTGCCAGGCAGGCGCTTTGCCGCTGAGCTAAATCCCCAGCCCCTCTAAAATATTTTAAAGTGAATGGTGTGTCAGTCATTTGATGAAATATACTAAACACAGTTTTGGTGTGCAGGAATTAACTTCTGATGCTCTATAGCACAGTATGAGAACTATGGCTTTATTTGAGTCATTTGTAGGAAAATAGAAGAACGTTGAGACAATAATGTTAAGTGAAATAAACCAGACATCAAAGCTCAAATGCCATGTGGTTTCTCTTATATGAGAAATCCAAACTATAAGTAATTTAAAGAGCAAAATACAGATAACAAGAAACAAGACAGATCTTTTGCAATGGGAAGGAGGCAGTAGATGGAGGAGCAGGTGTAGGAGAAAGTTAAGTAAAGAAGCATGCTCTGTCCATGCACCAACTCCCCCCCCCCCGTGAGTACACACATGTTCGATAAACATGCACTAATACAAAGTTTTTAGAAAGAACTGGCTTAGCCAGGTGTGGTGTCACATCCCTGTAATCCCAGCATCTGGAGGCCTTGTCTCAAAGAAACAAAGCACTGGTTTAAAACAATTGAGCCAGGAGTTGTACAACACACCTGTAATCCCAGCACTCTGGGAGGCTGAAGCTGGAGGATTACAAATTCAAGTCCAACCTGGGCAATTTGGCAACTTAGACTGTCTAAAAATAGGAGCTAGAGATGTACCGAAAAGTCTGAGTGTTCCAGCCAATAAGAGAAGCGTCTGAAATGACATATACGCCAATTTAATCAATCTGATCACTACACTTTGTATACACAGTGAAATGTCACACTGAACCAAATATGTACCATTACTATGTGTCAAAAATGAAATGTTTGAGCCAGGCGTGGTGGAGCATCCGTATAATCCCAGCACTCAGGAGGCTGAGGCAGGAGGATTCTTGTGAGTTCGAGGCCAGCCTAGACTACAAAGTGAGCTCAAGGCCCACCTGAACTGCATAGGGAGACCCTGTCCCAAAAAGAAAAAAAAGTCTGAAAAACCCAAACTGTTTAATGTATTATCTGCAATTTTTGATGTTATAAATCCCTCTAGATGAATTATCTTATGTACATCTCTTCTCCTAAGGAAAATGAGAAGTTAATAAGTCAGTCATAATTCAATGTCTAATCAAATTAATTCCCAAGAGATAAGCTAAATGTCACCTGTTAAGACTAATTAACATTGTGTGACAGATGGGAACTTCCGTTTTCTATATTTTTATTCACAACATGTATTACTAGAAAAAAGTCCTAAGAAGTAGAAACAGAGAGAAAAGAATTTGCTAGACCTGGAAATGCACCATTTATTCCTTTGCTAAAATCAACTTTAATACTGTGAGGACTAAGGTATTTAAGAGTCAAATTTTGCCAGGTACAGGGGCTCAGCCTGCAATCCCAGCTACATGGGAGACTGAGGCAGGACCACTGCAAACTCAAGCCCCACCTGGGCAATTTAGGGACTCTGGAGAGACGACGACTTAAAATAAAATGAGCTGGGAATGTAGCCCAGGGCAAAGGTCCTACGTTCCATCTTCAGGACTGCAGGTAGGGGTGGCGCTGGAGGTGATGTTTCAAGCAAGGGGAAAATAAATGTTTAAGTCTGCCATGACCCGGCAGACTTGGTAAACCACAAGGAGCAGGCAGTAACAGAACAGCAGAGTCTCTCCTAAAGTGGACATAACTGCGGAAACATTCTATCTTTTCCCACAAAAGATCAAGCTTGTTAAAGCTTTAAATTCATGACAAAAAAAGTTGGAGGAGACAGGGATCGGTGTGGCATTCCTCTAATCCTAGCACTTAGGAGGCACGAGGATCTTTTCAAGTTCAAGGCCAATCTGGATTACACCAGTGTGAGACCTTGTATCAAACAAAACAAAACAAAACAAAAAAAACAAAAAACCCTTAAAGGGAGAAATTAGTTGGTTGAGTCATTTTAAATGTCAATAAAAAGCCAGGTGTGAGGCCGGGTGTGGTGGCACACACATGTAATCCCAGCACTCAGGAGGCTGAGGCAGGAGGATCGTTGTGAATTCTAGACCAGTCTGAGCTACAAAGTGAGCTCAAGACCAGTCTGAACTCCA